TCTTGTTTAGTATTTAGTATTCACAATACTGATAAATTTGTATTGGCGGTTCTAAAAAAAAAAGTCATTTTTTCTTAACTGTGGGGGATGTAAATACCTTCTTTTTAGGTTTTGAATTAAAATTTCGTACTTGTATCAGTCCCGAATTTTAGTACTATCGAAATGGAGAGTACGTTATATAAATTGAAGTTTTATCATTTTCGTGACGACTGGGAAACTTGAATACTGTTTTAAAATGATAAAAAATAAATATTGTTGCTTAATGTGCCTTTTGTAGCCAATATAATAAAAGGGTGATCTGGTGTGGCAGTTTTTAACTTTGAATAACAAATATCAAACAGATAATTTCCAAAATAGTGACTTAAGGAAAAAAAAAATGTGGCTTTAAAAAACTGAACAAAATATTTTTTAAAAGCCCATTCTGAAATCACGAGCAGAGACTATTGCACCTTTTTAAAAGCCCATGTAGAAATCGCGAGCAGAGACTATTGCATCATTTAAAGTAAGCCATATTTTCGCAAAACATTTAAACCATTTTCTAACGAGGAATTTATAAAAGAAACTTTCTTAGAAATGTCACATTTATTTTTTAATCATTTTAAGAACAAGATTAAAATTACTGCTGCAGTAAAAGATCTGAAGTTATCTCAGAATACTGTGATGCAGCAGAGAAAATGTGAAAATATAAAAGACCAGTTATTATAACGACATTAACAGAAGGTTTTCGATTTTCCTTCAATTTGATGAATCGACATATATTACTGACACATGTTTGCCTAATTTTTCGTATATTTTTTAAAGATTATATGTATATAGAAGAATTCTTGGGTATGATTTCTTTGAAAGGAAGACCACATATTTTCAACTGTTTGAAACACCTCCATCCTAATTTGAAACTTGCTGAATGACAGTAGAAAGAGCAGGAGCTTTATATCGAAATTAAGTTATTTAAATTTAGAGTTGTAAGGATGGAAAAAGACAATAATGAATGTTTTGTATTATTGCATACAAAAAATTATTAGGCTAATAAAGAGTCACTTTCCAAATATGTCCGATCACCTACAAAAACATCAAAATTGAAAATTATAACATTAAAAAGCTGACTGAAATTTTTTAGGTCTGATTTAATTTGTATATTATCTATCTTTTTCTTTTAAAAAGGATTTAATTGTATAACATATTTCTGCAAAAATGTCTGATAAATTTAATTTAAAAAAATGACTGGTTCGAAAATTCATTCATTAAAGAAGTCAAACATTGCTTAGAGTAGCAAAACCCTCAAAACATTGCATCCATATGCAGAGGCTTTATTCCTTCCATAGAACAATACTTTCTTAATCCAACCAATGAATCAAGGAATAATGAAAACATTCGACTCCTATATAATCATCCTCCTCCTATTCATTTCCTCCTCCTGTTAGGCATGTTGACCTCTCTTCAAATAATGCACTAGATGAAGAAAAGCACGACATACTAACGGAATTTTGGAACCAATTAACATAAGGCTCCATTAAGTAGGTGGTATAAATGACATAAAGGCATAAAATGCCGGAGTTCCATTCACACCTGCGAGACAGGGTCTTTGCTGTAGCCAATTACAGAAGCTAAATTTGCGCATGCATGGATGTGTCTACAGTTTTTCTTCTCTGTTTCCCCGCCCAATAGGGTGCGCGTTCGCTCTGATTGGTCGATTCTTATGCCAAAACCCTTAAACCGGTTTTTGTGACGTAGCGAAGTCTGGTTATAGTTCGATCTAGCAAAGTCTGGTTGTGACGTAGCAAAGTCTGGTTATAGTCTGGTTATAGAGGAGGATGGGGGTCTCATCCGCGACCATGAGCGCAAACACGCATGTGTCATTTGGGCCGAATTATTCTCAAAAAAGGGTGAAAAGACTTTCTTTCCCTCCAGCATGATCCTTTTACAGATCAATGGAATATGATGAGTCAGGTCTCGTGCAAGTGCATGACACGTGCGACGCTTGAGCGTTCCCTCGAACATATAAATTCTCTTTTTCCGGAGAATAGAAGACTTTCACGTTGCATCAAATAATAACTCTCCTTTTGGACGATTTTATGTGTTTTTGCAAAATACGAGTCAGGGTTGTGTTTGAGACGGTCATACTATACCTAGCAACGAAGCTCGGCTTAAACCGGTTATGACGTTTAGACCACAGTCTGAGCGGAGCCTAATATATACCAAAGAAATGATTAAACACGCATGGGAGCAATTCATCAGTAATGAATGTTTGTTGGCATCATTTCCGGCCAGAAGTCGCCTACAATTTTAAAGGATTTCCATCGATTGAAAATATATCGTGCAAATTGCAAAAGGCGGCGAAGAATTTTCAGATATGGAAGAAGGAGAAATTAAAAGATTGTGTAGAGAATGATGATCGTGAAGTGATAAATTAAGAAGTGGATGATATTTTAACCTCAAGCAGACAGTTAAAGCAGCGATAATGAAGAAGGTAAAGAACCTTTCACGTACAAGAAGTTGAAAACGAATTGTTAAAAAAAGTCACAGGAACTGTCAGTCACCCAAGTGGTAAAAGAAAGAGTATACGTTATGAGAGATACTGAAAAACTTTGCACCGATCGTTTAATAATTTGAATCAGATATTGTCCCAAGGAAAAATCACCAGCTATTTAAAATGATTATTGTATCTTATACCTACTTATCAAATAGTAATAGAAATTCCTTCAGTCAATATTTGTTCATTTTACCTTTTCATTACAATAATACTTAGGTTTGTATAAATCATACATACTTTCTTAATCTGAACTATACCTAACCGTTTATTTCCATTGAAAGTTAACTTTGCGAAACACGATTCCGCCATACATACAATGTATAAATAACATAACCCCGCATTTAGCAAAGGTGTATTGCATTTTCATCTGCTCAGGAAAATCAAAAAACATTTCTTGTAAACATATTTCGAATTCTCTATGGTTGTCATGCATTCAAAGTTAAATCACTAAATCATTTTTTTCAACGTCGAATAACTAACTACACGTAGTGTCTTCCTTTCCAATTAATTCTCAATACTCTGTCATAATTTGGAGTGCGATAAATTCACAATTTCTGTCATAATTTCGAATGTGACAGACTTTCTAAGCTAACAGCAAGATGCTCCTAATGGTGCAATGTATAATAACTTTTATTTGTATAATAACTTTTATTTCTCAGTTATCGTAGATTTTTGAGGTCTTCACAAGGTATGATTCAGCTATGATATAAATATCGTTCTTCTTCACCTGAATAACTTGCAGACCAAAACTTTTTTTATTCATTTCTTCCTATGATCCGAATTATCGCCCAGTATAAATTTAAGATTTCATTGAAAAAATTTAAAGTATGTAATAGTTATCTATCAACTATAAATTTAAGATGTACAGAAGTTGGCCACTTCTAATGTTGCAATATCGTAGGACAATGAGGCGCTGCTTAGCAGCAAATCGTACTAAATGATCATAAAAAAACTTCCCCGATATTACGAACCCTAGAGGCTATTCGCTCAACCAATCGAAATGAAATTTCAGATATTGTTGTTTGAAGGTATGCTTTCGATATTGTGGGGATTTTCAAACAATTGATCTCTCACGGTTACAGTTACAATGAAAATATTTCGAAATTTTTGAATGGCAACACGCAGTTTTTTCCTGCACAAATTTATCAGAGCATTAAGAAACCATAAATTTGGAATGATATACGTATGATGAAACCTGCCGGCGTAAAACAGTTACAAAGAACAGGGGAAGAAACTTTTATTGGAATTGCAAGTTTTCAACGTATTTATCTTTGCACACGATAACGCACTGCAAGCGGGAGATTACAATAATGACGAATGTAACATCGCAGGAGGAATCTGTATAACTTCATGTTTTACGGCATCATTCAATTTTAACAATTCTCGTGTACCCCAGAACCAGAAATCCATCGAGTTCGGAGGATTGGGGGTTTCCACGATCCTCCATAGGGATGACTCTATGTCCGTATCTAAGTTACGGAAGATGACTCTTATCTCCAAAGTGCTGTTGCAGCATTTCCCGAACACATGGAGCGACGTCTGGAGAAGCACCATCTTGCATCCATAGACTACTGTCATCAAAGATATTTGATGCTGCAATTTTGAATTACGTAATTCTGCAACACTGTTGTATACCAAGCACTTCTGATGTAGCACGTTTCTCTACCTTTTCGAAACTTTGACCTTTCGATGACCGTTACTAAGAAGTACTGACCGAGAAGGAATGTACTTGTCATGTCGCATCACACACTCACATTAGCTTCGTGTAAAGGCGCTGATGCATATCATGAGGATTTTCGTCAGCCCGGTGAACACTTCAACTGTCTATCCCTGTGAATTATGCAAAGTGCTTCAATGATCCAAAGAATATAAATAGCCGATTCAGATTCTTTGATGCACCTCATCTTTGTGTCCTTTACAATGCTCTTTGCCAGCAATTTTCGTCATACTTGTATCTTTCCAACGCTGTTTATGGTTTTTCAGTGCGCTGATCAATTTGTGCAGAAAAAAAAAAAGTGGCTGTTATCATTCGAAACGTTTTCACTGTAGCCGTAAGCGTGAGAGCTCTATAGTTTTAAATCATGACAATATTGAGTGCATACCTTCAAAAAACAATACCTGAAATTTCATTTCAATTGGTTGAGCGGATAGGCCGCTACGGGTTTATATATCGGGGAAGATTTTTTACGACCACCCTGTATATTGAGAAAGTTTTCATTAGATACTAATATATGTAATCCCTACTATATTCGCATTAATGGTAAACGTCTAACAGTATCTTCATTAACTGTTATCTCTTCATTCTCATACGATGTAATTATCCTAATGTACTTTTAATTGGCTCACAGTTTACAAAATCTTGTGTTAACAATTTATATTCATGTATTAAGCATTTTTACATGAATTGAATTAGTTTATTTTTTTTTATTTTTATCATAATTAATCGTGATATTTATGTATTAATTGATAGATATGGCGGCCATTCTGTCTGGAGCAATGGATTTGGTGTACGAAAATAGCGTATCTGCTATTGAAGGTTTGCAAGGCAGGTAGGTGAAAAGAAATCTGTTTCTGTTTCACACGAAAGAATTAACATAAAAATTTCAGCAAGGCATCTTTCTTTGCAATTATTAAATACCAAGCAATGAAGCCAGTTTCTTAAATGAAATAGGATGGCAGTCTTATTATAAGGGCAAACATTTTGTTAATCAGAACACATTTTTTTTTCTATTTTTAGCTTGTTGTAGACAACAACTTGCTTTTCGAGCCATTCAAAAACTTTGGAATTACCAAATACATTTTTCAACTTCCAAAAATAGGCATTTTAATGCTTTGTGTGTTGAAAAGAATAAACTCTTAAAACAACTTTTACGGAATTCACATTTACTTTACTTTTTTTTTTTTTTTTTTTTTTTTTTTTTTGTTTTTGTTTTTGTAAAAATTGCTAGAAATATAATGCAAGAATCTTTGTTTACAGAGTAAATGTTTGTAAAAATTATTCAGCGGTTAATCTCTGTTTACAAAATAAATTGTCTCTTTAATAAATAATAATAATAATAAGGAAAACTACAAGTGAAAATTTCGGCAAGCAGTTTTATAACCTTTATGTTAACAGAAAATTGACTTTCACTTGGCTTCAGCGCGAAAACAGAATAGTTCTGCATTTAATTCTTGAAATGCAGATTAAAGCATATATACAATTTTTGTTTATATGCTTAATATAAAGGAAAGAATGAAAACAGTATGTGGCTAAACAATTAGAACACATAACCAATTAGAGAACAGGTAGATGAAAATCTTTGAACATTCAAATAACAGCAGTAGTTCAATATAAAATAAAACAGCATAAATTACGTTAACAAGATAAATTCTCTTGCTCATGCCTTTGTCAAGCTCTTTTCCACTTTCAAAAATGAACGAGAAGGCGAAAATTGGGCATTTCATACATGGTATTCCAAGAACTCCCATGAGGGTTCATGATAAGATTTAGCGACAGAAGAACTAATATACCATATATTGGGATACTGTAAGTATATTTTGCATCAGAACATTATCCCTCATACAGGAAAACTTGTCTATATCACATGTTGAATATAGTCATATAGAATGTTTAGACACAATATGGCTAGACTCGATGAAGGCAATATTTAAAGCAACATGCCTTCCGTGTTTTATAAATGAAATTCAAGTTATAATTTCTTAGAGACTGCCCAGACGCGAAAATAGTTAGTTACTCACACTGCCGTACCGAAAGGCCCGGGTTCAAATCCCGGAGAAGGCATGGATGTAAATTATCTATGCCTTCATAAGAGGCAACGGCGGCCCACCTATTGGGTACCTCCATAATAAAGTGACCACTGCTTCCGGCCTAAGTAGCGGCCAACGAATATAAGGGCTAGTGTTAATAAAAATAAAAATGATAATTTCTTTAAAAAAAAGTATAAGCTAGGTTAATAAGCATAAAAAATTCATGTGCGTATCATGTGGTTAAGAGAATATTCAAATTAATACAAAAAAATGTTTCAGTTATTTTATTCAGGGCTACTTGTGTTAACTTATGCAACAAATTTATTATACCATTATTGTAAATTGTAGGCAAAATTTAAATAAAATGGAACACAAGCTTGGAAAAATTAATAAAAGTGGGGAAATGCCAAAGTTTTTGAAAATTAGTGATATTTTTTTCAATAATAATAATAATAATAAACCTCAGCAAAAGCTCCGAGAATAAAACTTTAGTAGCATAAAATAAATTTGAAATATCTCAAGGCAGTATATATCTAGATTATGGTAATGGTTCAAGAATATTCAAACCTTTAAGGATTGTGTGTTTCGGCTTAATTTCGCAAACGTGGCAGTGGACAAAGTTAATGACAATTCCTCGATAACATTATGTATTGCAAGTCACTGGTAGCCTGTGATTTTGTCAGTACGATTTCATGTGTACTTTGGCTCAGGCGACTTAATAAAATATAGACAGATTACGGAAGGTTAACAAACTACATAGCAGATTTTTAATTTTTACGTACAATGAAATTAATTGTTCGCCGATCCTTATTGTTTATTATAAATTTCTTCCGATCTGAAATTAGGGCATATAAATTCCTTTTCTTACTGCTCCAGATTTTTCGATATCATCCATATGTTACACTCAGGATTTCTGCAGTTTTATTCATCAAAGTGGCCGCTGAACACACTTCAACAACCGTTTTTTTTACTTCCTTGGGTACGAAGTAAAGGAACATTTCGAACCGCGTATAATTTCGGGTATTATATTGTAATGGAAATATTCATTTTGACAGTTCCCGAATTTATTTGGACGCTTTTGTTTAGACAGAAAAAGAGATTGAGGGGATTTAACGACCGTACGTACGTACCTATCTCGCTTAACTCAAAAACGATTAGCCGTAGAATGTTGAAATTTTGTATATGGGACTGCTATAACATCTAGTTAAACACCTCCCTTTTTTATTGCAATCAGTAGTACCAAAAACTCTCTCTCTCTCTATATATATATATAGTATATGTATATATTTATACCGACTGCCTCCTTAAAAGTCCTTACCGGGTTTCCATTTTTGCAATCGTTAGTCGTAGACATATACATCCAATTACAGAAGTGTTTTAAATGACGAAAATATTCATATTTTAGAAGTTTCAGGTTAAAAAATAATAAATTAATTTTCCACAGGTAGCGAAATTTTACTTTTAATGTGGTCTCACGGTTCCTGTACTTATATCTGAGAAAGTTTTATACTCATTATGAAAAAATAAAACTATAAGAAGTTTGACATCCGTACGACAAAAATTGACCAGAAATTTCAAAATTTGCAACTTTTGATGTCAATTTCAGCTTGCTCTAAGCGATCAGTTAGTTAAGCTAGAATAATTCAAGGAAATATGTTTAAATGAAGTGCAGCAAAAAATGTGTATAATTTAATAGGTACAAATAGGTCATGTAGTGTCCACATCAGATTTTTTTACATCGATAAATCAAAAATTATTCGAAACGAAATAATAAATCCTTTTTTCCGCAGCCTAATTTATCGCTATATGTACGATCTGAAACTCAAGATGTGGAATTTTCAATTGATATTCATTCACAGTTTTTTTTTTCGAAATGGGTTTTTCCATGATTTTGGCTATCACTTTAAATAAGGCCACTTAAATGCATACCTAATTACATTTATTGCATTAGGTATAACAGATTATAAAATTTAATTGTGGGAATTCTGTTAGGACAACATTCGGTATTTTTCTTATTGTAATATTTTTAGAAACTTTTTATATGAAAATAAATTTTTTCTCCAAAATTAGCGCTTCATATATATACGATATTCCTCTCATTATTTTTAGGTTTCATCAGCAGAGTAACATGTTCTTTATGATTTCCAACATATTCGATCCACGATATGCATTTCTCTTCTATTCCCCTCTATTTTTTTCACTCGATTGGAAGATTGGAAAGAAAATCATGTGGGTCACTGTCATAGCGGAATGGTCCAATCAGATGCTAAAATGGTAAGCGAATTCTATTTCCTGAATGTTATTCTCCTTGAATTAACTTTCAATTGGTTATAGTCTAAATCGATTAAGCACATTTATTTTATCTATTTTAAATTTTGAAAAATGAGTCCTTAAATAATGGATTTATCTTTAAAATAGAGCAGCGTGCGTATGGGTTCGCAACAGATTGAATACACACACCTCCGATGATAGGTTAATAAAATTTATTTTATCAAAAGAAACATTTCAGATTGTTCGAATTTTCCACAGAAATACTCGTACAGGTGTTCACAGTACCGCAGAGTACTATGGGTAGTTACAATTGTAGTTGAATTCAAACTACTAAGAATGTTAAACACAACGTAATGCAAATCGCATTTAAGAGAAAGCTAACTCGGAGACTTCTCAATACTCATGCTGAACTAACAACTCGCAAAGACAATAACAACAACAACTGAAAATAGATGCTCTCTCCGGCTTTACATTGTTTCTACCCAGCCGCCCAGATATTTCTAGTACTTTCTGCTTTTCAAAATTACTGGGAGGCAATATGACGGTCGAATTACGGTTGCAGCAAATATAGTCATCAATTACATTTATTCAACTAGAATACCTATCACGGTACATTCTTCAATTTTTAATGTCTTCAAACATAATACAGGACAATAAAATTTAGTGGCAACAATTTGAGTGGTTTACAGTGATTCGACGCAAAATGCCATTTCGAGACAAAACAGCCCTTCTGGGCTTTATATATATATATATATAAAAAAAAAAAAAGTTTGTAATAAAATGAATTTTATGCATAATATAGTAAAGCTAGAATAGTTTTCGTACAAATTAAAAAAACTTCATAAAAGTTGGTAGAGTCAGCAAGAGCTGCTTTGAATAATTTTATGGAATAATCACAGTGATGACGGCTTAATAAATGTTTCACCGGCTAAGAAAATTAAGATAACGTCACAAAACAAAGAAAAAATACTTTTTTTGCAAATAACATTATTTTTATTTAATAATTTACTTAAAAAATTGTTTGGCTTTTGAAAAACGAGTATAAGTATAGTTTTACATTAAGTTCTTTTAATTTTCAACTGTCTTGCTCTTATTCAAGATCCCCTCTTTGAAATGCATTTCGCAGAAATGCCTTGTTTCCTTTTACACAAAAAATACACTGTATTCGTTACACAAAAAATGACAGTGTTATAATTTTTATCTTAGGGCCCTTCATGGAGAACGTCCATACTGGTGGATCCACGAAACGCAGGTTTACAATAAAACAGGAATCACTACTCCAGATATCCAACAGTTCTTTCTTACATGTGAGACAGGACCAGGTATGTAATATTAATTTATTCTTGTTGTTGTTGCCCATGACTGTCATCAAAGTCTGTGACATTTTTTTGTCACCATCACATTCATACCAGCGTGACATTTTTTGTCCCACACCATCGCAATTTAGACTGAGACAACCTAAAAGACAGTATGCGAGGGCTTATATTCTGCTTCCTCTGAGAACATAATAAGCATGCCATGATTATTGCCCAGGCTCTCATAGCCCGGGCCTAAGCAGCCACAGACTTCCCAACTGGGACCTAATAATTAACTTATTTATAACTAATGACTAGTAAAACAGTAATACCTGTCTCAGCATTATTGTTTTTTGCTATGATATATTTAAACGTTTTATAAGCTTACATCCATTTTGTGTTTTGAAACAGGAAGTCCATCTGGTCACGCAATGGTCACAGCGGCCGTATGGTACGTGATTTTAGATTCTTACCTGAGGAAGTTTCACTTCATCAAGAAAAACAGGTTAGATATTTATTCATTTTCTCTTTATAATTATCAAAATAGCATTAGTATCGAAATGGTTTATGCCAAATGTCTCACGTTTAAAATGTTAAAAGAAATTTAGATCAGAATGCATTATGTTATGAAACATTCTATGGTTAGAAATTAAGTTTTAATAGAAGCATTAACTACTACTAGGAAAACAGATATAGCTCGTTTCTTTAACGAATTAAATCCGATTTCTTCATATGATATGACACATTTGTTCACTTCACATAGCCACTTCTTTTCTAAATTAAACTTAGTATTGAGATATTTAATTTACAAATTCTAAGGCGAATCGTGTATTACACAAATAAGCACTGCATAATGCAAAACTCAGTCCAGTGAAATTCCACTGTATTTCAAATATAACTTATCAAATAACTTTTGTCGTAAGTTACACGAACTTTCAGTTTTTGATAATTTTTTCCCCTCCACAGTGCAAACTTGATTCCTAAATTCTGCTGGTTGGCCTATCTTGCACTTTTAACGACTGTCAGTGCATCTAGAGTTTTCATTGCTGCTCATTTTCCACATCAATGCTTTGTTGGAATAGCTGTTGGTAAGTGCTCTTTATTTACGTGTTCTTTTCTAGAAAGCAAAGTATGAATAGAGTAAATAAAATACAAATTCGGACTTCACATTACGTACTCATGCCTAAAATTATCTTCGTGCATCAAGGAAGAAACTTTGAACTATAATTTTATGATTTTGTGGGGAATGATGCATAACACCGTAACACATATATAGAATGGGAAAAATTTAAGAACACTGCATATAATATCAAACTGTAGCATAAAAAAATAAAAATGGTAATATGTTAGGACAGCTAAAAAAACTCAGGGGAAAAAATTAAGAATTTAATAGTGTTGCAAAATGTCCAGGCGCGGTAAGATGGCTTCCCTGCAAAGCCAGAAAATGGCAAGGGCACGCAGGGTTGCCACATTTAGCGATATGCTATGGACGGATGGAAAACCTTCTGAAACAAATTCTTACTGGTTTAGCCCAGAATGTTTTCGAACACAAGCCGAAAGCTATATAAACCCTACCGATATGCAGAGAGTTAGTTGGTTAGCATCTTGTCTAGCAAGCAGATAGTCAGTTATTGAATGAGTGTCTCAAAGTCTAGCGCTGAGTTAGTCGTCAAGTGCATGCAAGTCTTTAGTGTATCACGAGTTAGTGCATCGTCGAGTTTTGTCTTAGAGTGTGATGAGCTCCAGAAACGACTGAACCGAGTCGAGAGCTGTACTCTTGTGTATCGTCGAATGCACCGTGAGTTGTAGCGTAGAGAGTCTCGAGAGTACGTAGAGTTCCGAGAACGACCGAGGAGAGTCGGGAGCTGTACTTTGGTGCTTTGCCGTAAAGCTGTTTCCACCGTTATAGCATGATAGTGTGAAGGCTGTGTCGCTGATTGTGTCAGCGTGTTTATAGTAGTTCGACAACTGTAAACATTATTGGAGGTCATTGTTATTCACTCCAAATCTGCACGAACCCCGTACGTACGTAAACGTAAAGTGAAGAGAAAAAAACGTAACAATATGCAATGTGATATCCCAATACATATCACAATGCGTTTCTGTGCTGGCAATAATGTTGTTAACCACAGTTTGACGAATTAAGTTCCAGCCCCTCAGCAATGTGATCTTGAGGGCATTTACATCTCTAGGAGGAGGATGTCTGTGTGCAATAGCTTTTCCAAATTAATTTCTGATTTTAATGGTTTGGTTTGGTTTATTTAATTATGGCAAAGCACACTAGGGCTATCTGCCTAAGGGAAGGGGTGCCTTCGTGGAGGACTTTCTAAGGGAAACTGGCTCATATACACGTTACACACGAAAACGCCCATGCAGCAACCCGTTCGCAGGATTCGAACCTCGGACCGAACTGCCAAAGTTCAGCGACTTTACCGCTCGTGGGCCCTGATTTTAATGAAATAGGAAAGGAAAAATGAAGAGGGAAAATTTGGACCATATTACAATAAAGAATACTATGGGAGTGATGGGGGGAACTAAGAATCATCCATTTCCTCTTCCCAGTCTCTTGAGAAGGCTTTCAGCTAGACAGAATTTTAAATGTTCCTGTGCCACAACAACACTATATACTTATAAATATCCATGCCTCGGGGCAAGACTAGCTGATTCCCCTTTCACTATGCCAACATGGTGGTTATGTCCTCTAATGTGAATTTATGAAGTTTCCTAAACTGAAACAGGAAAGCATGAATTATTCACATTCAATGAAGCATTTTAACAATGTTTTGTAAATAGCAACTATGTCTTAGAGAGAACAGAAGCATATATTGAGAAAACTCTCATATGCTCTATTCAATTTTCCATGTAAATTTTTTTCCCAGGTGCATATAGCATGTTTATTTAATGACATAGCTTATTTAAAAAATAAAACTCTCATTTCATAATGCAAGTATACTCTACAAAAACTACATTATATATTTAACTGAAATTTAAAATATCTTAAATAAATGGTGTTTTATATAATTTCAAATTACTCTTTGCATAAATATTACAGATAGTATGCAAAGAAGACACACAAAAAAGGGGGCGCAGGGATTTGAAAGTTAGAGACAATTTTAACAAAGGGCTCATATATTTATTTATTTTTCAGGATGGTTGGTAGCCCTGGAGCTGGACAACATCATCCAAAAGCATCTCAATACATTTCAATATTGTGCAATTACAGCTGGGATGCTTGCCAGTGCTCTTTCAATGTATGGATTCCTAAAAGCAATTGGAGTCAATCCCATGTGGTCAGTAGACAGGGCCATCAAATGGTGTGCCAAACCTGAATATGTACATCTAGATACAACTCCATTCTTTTCTATGATGCGTTACTGTGGATTCATGCTTGGCATGGGCTTTGGATTTAATAGCCAGTATTTCAAAAATGCTTTTAAACAAAATTTCACAATGGCAATGAGGATTGTCTGTGCATTTCTTTCCATCGGTGTTTGTAAATTATCAGAGAAGATTGATTTTCCGAAAGAGAATATGCTGTTGTTCTATGTCGAATCATTCTTTCTGAATGCTTTCTTATCTTATGTCATGATAGCAGTTGTTCCAAACTTAGTATCCAAAATTTGGACAACAAAGGCAAAAAAGCATTAATTTCTCAATGTAGAAACTGCAGTGCAAAGTGAATACAAATATTTGTATATAGTTGTGCTATTTATCACTTAATGCAAACATTTTTAACTAAATGTTTTATCAACTTTGTGAAAGTGACAAGATTTGTGCAATATCAAACATTTAAGAGGAGTTTGTGATCGAAACTTGGATGGAAGATGTAAACCGTTTTTACATTTGAAAAGTGACTCATACTCATCACAAAAGTATGAAGACATAAGGAATATACGGTAAACTATTATGAATGTTTTCAATTCAAATACTTGATACAAGGAATGAATGTACTTTTTTACTAAGATGAAAAACATCTGCCTTTCTTAAGCCAGCATTAAAGAATGACGATTGAAATTTTATCGCAATGCTGTATAAAATTGACCAGAAAGTAATTTAGCTATATAAGATAGCAACTTTTTTGTTAAATTGTATTGATTAATTCATAGCTAACTAAATAAGTAAAATATGTGTAAAGATCAATATTAGCTATTAAGTTTTGAATCTAGGAATTATATTACTTACAGAAAAGAATGTTAAGGTATGTCTACCAACTATGTACATATTGTAAATATGATAAGAGCACTTCAGTGCATACTTTCTACCCTAGATTTTAGTAAAAATATATTAATATTTGTGCTGAAAATAACAGTGGATTCTGACTGACATTTTGTATAATATTGTAAATAACATTAGCTAAAAGCTCTATAAAAAAACTGAAACTTGTCAGACCAAGATCACATATCAAGGATGCTTTCTAATTCTTTTGAATTTGTAAATAAGCCAAAGAAATTGTAATAAACACTTTTTCTTCCTAATATTGTTCATATTTCAGAAAACATGTCCAGCAGCATATGGGAATCTCAATGCGTACATACTACAGGAAAATTAAAATTTAATTCACCGTTTCAATTTTTACATAGTACACCGAGTAAAACTCAATTTTAGGAACATGATATAAAATATCAAATATACTTTAAATTGACGGCAAGTAATAATAAATTTATCATTATTTCATACTTTCAAGAAGTATTGTCACTTGTGGAATACATTTATAACTTTTACATGTTGGAAGTCTAAAAACTGCAGCGATATCTAACTGAATGCAGAAAATATATTTCAAATACTAATGTCAAACTTAATACAAAATATTTAAATGATATTTTGTCATAGCAATATTTTCACATCACTACTTCAGTGAATTAATACTAAAAAACAGTTCTATTTTTTAGAGACAATATTCTAAAGAACTGACTACAGATTTCATCTTCTTGAATACTGATCCTATACATGCACTTCTAATAGCAAATCATGTTAAGTGCAACACTGTTCTACTCTTGTTTACAAAATTTTCAGTGGCAATTGATCACATAAAATAATAGATTTCATACTCATCTAATCTGTCCAAAATTGTATTTGTGAAAATTTCTATGTGAAGAGAAACTTTGCAGTTGGAAAAACATGTTTAGACAAACAAACCAAAAACACTACACAAGATAGTATCAAAAAGTTTACAGCTCTGTTGACAAAAATCTACCACACAATAAATTGCCTTTCCTTTGAATAAATCACTTTGAGCAATAAGAAATGCACTGATCCCAGCATTCATTACACTGCTGGAACACAAGTAAAAAATCATTTTGTATACAAAAATTCCTACTGGATCTTATCACTCACTGGTGACAATCCTGCGTGTGAAGGATGGATTATACATGGCACACTCATGGAGAACTTGGCATATGGGTAACATGATGTCTTTTGTTCAGAAGTCAGCAGTGGATGGTGGGACAAAATTGTCTGAAGAACCATCCATAGAGACAGACCAACAAAGATTGCAATGCAGATGAGTGTCCTTTAATGACTACCATGCACAAGTTCTTAAATTCCTTCTGTAGTATTTTTAGGAGTATGTTTGTGAAAGTCTCCCAGATTATTTGTTGACCTTTGACACGGCCTAGATACACCTTAACATTGCGTATAACTGAATGCATGTTCAGTGTTTATGTTGCCAATTTTCTCGGTTTTAATGTCAAATTTCATTGTTAGTCTACCTTTTAGTTCCTAATTTAATTGCACATTACACCACGATTAACAAAAATCACTGTAATAATAATTCCCTGTCTTAACCCAGTGATGTCTATTAGCACACAAACAACATCAAGATCCAAAGTCACTTCAGTTGAAAGCACATTTCCACACTGCCATTTATTAAAGCAAAACAGAATTCAGAATTAGTTTGAAAACATTTGATACACTCTTGCTGTAATCTTTTTAAGTACCCTGTAATAATGGAAGATGCCTTCTGAAAGACACTTGTCACAATTAAATATTCCCCCGGGTTAAAAACAGATTTTCAAGCTGGTAAATGACTTCTATATTTAACACTATTAGTTTTAAAGTATAAATAACAAAATATTATGTTGCATATTATGTAACAAAATATTAATTGCTTGCAAGTTACATAAATTAAAAACTTTAGCCATAAAAATTAACTGATTATTCTATATGTTTTGTTCATGAAGAATTCTTCTTTTTAGCCCAAAGCGGCATTAGCCCAGAAGGTCTATTAATCTCGAAACAGCATTTTGTGTTGAATCACTTTTCAAATTGTTGCCACCAAATATTATCGCTCTATATTATGTTTAAAGAAATTAAATAAGAAGCAATCTGCATGAATGTATGTATGTGAAGGGGGGGGAGGAAAAAGAAAAAAAAAAAAAAAAAAACTACCTTCCACCCAAAAAGGAGCAATTGGAATTTGTTTTACAGTTCATTTTTACATTTTGTAAAACTTTAACAAATTTTTGACTAACAAACTCAACAATTTCAAAGCAAGCAATAGCAACACTGTACGGAAAATAACCCATGAGACTGCCCATCGGAAATTCTAAAGATATGTTGCTTTGAAATATTTTTAACCCGAAGGGACATTAGCCCAAATGATCTTGAAATATATATATGTGTGTAAATAAAAAAAGTCCCTCTGGGCATAAAACTTAGTCTCAAATTTGAAATTTTTTTGTCAGCAAACTAAAAAAATTGACTGAAAACAACTAAAAATCATAAATTTTAGAATTCATGTTGATGTAAATAATTTTTTGTATGAATACTTTGATAATTTGTTTCCAATAAATTAAATCTTTCCATTTTTAGAATAAAACTCTGGATAATTTTGAAAAACAACATTTAATTGTTACAAATACAATCTACATCTCAAAGTACTTAATAACATTCAAAGTACAGAAATGAAACACCTACAATTAAAAACACATTACTAGTTACAAAAACTAATTCTAAGCAACTTCAATATTTTTCAGCTGGGAAGTTGCTTAAAAGATTTCATTACAGATCAAAAATAACATTTTTTTACTAAGGAGGCCTGCCTCTTTTACCTACCAATCCCTACAACATTTACAAGATTATAAACAGTGGATTTGCTGCAGCTCACTTTCCTAAACCTTGGTTTGTGTTTACGTATTTAGTACTTTTTTCAAGCTAAATTTGATCCTTTTCAGCCATTAAAATACTTTCCTGAACATTTTAATTAATTTTAATAATACAGTAAGGTTTCAAATGCAGATCAACAGCTATCAGCTAAATATCAGTAGAATTCTATTTTTGATCTTTAGGGTAGATCTTTTTAAAGACCAGGGCAGGCACTAGACTTTGCTAATGTAGTGAATCCTAAATTTTGTTGCCTGGTGCATATAAAATGAAGAATCCGCTTACTAAGTATGAGAGATTGTCACACTGTAAAAAGATGGTGGCACCTAGAGCTACCAAATTTTTAATACATATATTTATTAACTAAGCATGTGCACCTCAAAACCCAAATTATGAAACAGAACTTTTTTTTAAATTTTATTATTTGTACGAATGTAGCAAATTTTATATTAAAAAATTTTGCAAGATAAATGCATACGCTATTTTTTGATACAAATTGTTATAATGATGCATGTGTTTTATAATTTTGAATATGAGAGATTAAATTTTAAAAACTGAATACAATAAAACTTTCAAGTACCCCAAAAAATTTCTTTTAAGATAAGTTTACTGTGTAGTACTTCATTGAGTTAAATACTTATTATATAGCTTTTATTATTTTTTTTTTGCTAATAATCTGCAGGAAATTCTTCAGCATACATTATGTTTAATCCATCTAGCATATATAAATTATTGTGGTATCATGCATAATTTCTTAAGAGCAATTTCTCTAATGAATCTGCTTAGAATTGTACATATTTTTAAATACTTAGAATTGTATATATTTATTTTAACATAATTGCAAAGGTTCAAGCACTACATCATTTTAACACCTACTTTTGTGCTTATTAAAGCAAATATATCAGACCAATTTACTACTTTCTTTTGTAAACTGGTTTTTTGTAGTGTATGTTTTTCAACTACTTTTTGTAATGCTACAAAACTACGTAATTTTTACCTCATTAAAATGAAAGCTTTGTATCCTGAACTGCACAAAATTAAAGAGACCACTGAGAAATACAAATTTAAGGAACTCTACATATACTGAACATCATTTATTCCAATGTTCACATCAGTATTTTATCACATTATCAGCCTTTTATGTATAAATTTCCAATTTTAATTTTTCAGATGCAAGCTGAGATTACTTTGGCACTTATTATTTTGACTAATGAACAATTAATATTTTACAAAATAACAAAGCATTCTGCTTATATTATTACTGATTCAAGGATGAGGTAATAACTTCAGACTTAGCTTAAGTACGCAATTATATCTCTTTTCTTTTTTTCCTAACAAGTAAGATTACTGAGATTTTTTTTATTCCTAGTACACTTTCTTAAACAAACAGCGATAGACTGACAACTAAATGCTTCATTAAAAGGATTGCAATTTCTGATTCCACAGTGTCATTAAAGAATTTTTGATATCAACAGCTTTATGTTTGTTATACATTACCAAACTTTTAATTTAATTATTTTTGCTAAAATTTGAGTAGTTAATATTATAGAGAACAAGTAAAACAACTTTTCACACCTATTTTTTACATTAAAATGAATAGATACAGAGGAGATTACTTTGGTGTAATTTATATAATTCACTACAATAAAATTATATTTAAGTTACAAACTACTTAAAAAAACATTTGTATAATGGCATTTCTTATAGCACCTGACCTGATATATAAATATTAATAATAGTATTAATAATGCTTTAAAATAGCAATACTTCAAAATAAAAGAATCATTAAAAGCAAATAAGAAACAATATAACTAAATATATAGTCTGTAAAGCAAACACTTCGAAATATAAGTTTATACAGTTAACTGCACAAATTATTAAATTTTGTACAACTACGTTAACAATTAAACTGCAAGTTTTCAGAATACTGTCTGAACGGAATGAATAATAAGACAGAATAGAATGAATACATATTTTAACCCATTTAAAAGCATTTTAAATTATTAAAACAACCCATATACAAATGCTCCCTAATCTACAAACTTGAGCAGAAAGTTGAAGAAACCTGTTCTGAAAGAATGTACCAAGTTATATATTCTATAATAAAATAATTCTCTGTTTGTTTATGATGTATTACATTTAAAATACATTATTTACTTGTTTTAGTATTTAGTACTTTATTTGATAGTATTTATAGCTCTTACCTCATGAATATTGTTAGGAGGTATGCATAATAAACCTAGTAAAATGATATGAACTGTAATTTGGAATGCACCTCATTCATTATGATGATGACCATCTATACATTTTAAATTCTGCCAAATAAATTTCTTTTTTCCACAACATGTTAAAAACTTTAATAAACTGAACACATATAATTAACATATTAATTACAGGTTATTCGAGTTTTTGCTCAAAGTAAGTTTATCTACTTCAAGACATTTTTTGCAGCACAACGTACTTAACTAACAAAAACTGTCTGAAAAAATGCAAATATTTTAACTCTTAAATATTTTGTCTTACTGAATGTCACTTTAATTATTATATAACACACAATTTTAAATGAAGTAAGATAAATGGCTAGAGGCAATGACAGTCTTTACTTTAGAGAAACATGGGAAGGGAGAGACAAAGTGGTTTATATAACCAGAAATAACTATACAGAAGAAATTGATGGTAATCTTTTTTTTTTTTTTTTGAAGGGGGAAAAAAAGAGGGGCATGTTTTTCTCCATGACACTTTATAAAGGAAAGAGAAACTGGGATTTTTTGAAATAGTATAATTTGCATAAACATTAATGCAGATACAATATATATATATATAGTAAAGTACATATATTTTCATAGAATTACAAGAAAAGATAGAAGAAGAATAATTGACACAATGTTTAAGTAACAAAATTTTTGCAAATGTTTAAAACTTGATTATAGATACTTGAACACAACATAATTAATTTGAAAATATATACTATTTTATTAATTTTTACAGCAAATTTTTAACATCTGATTCATGATTTTCAATTTCTTATACAAAGTTTGCAACATGTCTGCTAATATCATTGAGCACAAAAAGCAATCTCAACAGCACACTGAAAGTGTATGCACAAAAATTAATTCCTAGATCCCATAATCTGAAGAATGTAAATGAATAGGTTAATTATATCCAAATACAGATTCAAAGCAGCAAAAATGTATTCTTCTGGAGAAATGGAATACTTATGATGACCACCAATCAGTAGCTGAGTGTCGTATACCAGATACTATATAAGAAAAGATTTATAAATAAATTTCATTCAAGTGCATAAAATAAGGAATGCATGCATACGAATATCACAACTGTTATCTCTAAAACATGGAAAACTAGAATTTTTCACCAAACAGTGAAGTGACTTCAAAAGGAATCTAAATTGATAAACATAACTTTGGGGGAGGAGAGAGAACCCAATTACTTTCACACACACATATTTATTACACTGGTTAAATTTATCCCTGAATTTTTCATAAACCATTTTATAATTATAATTTTCATTACTAAACTAATTACTACAAGATTTTGATATAAAATATATAAACTTATTTTGAATAAAGAGTTAAATATTAAATTATGCTTGAGTAATTTAATTTTGTTAATACATAAAAATTTATATTGATGAAGACCCCAGTAAAGGTGAGGGGAAAAAAACCCTGTGGTAATCTAGTAATAGACTACCTGCGCCAGTTTGAGCAGGACATAAAATGTTTGTGGCTGAGCCTAACACTCTGGTTCTGGTAAGTTAAGACAGCCATGTTTTCCCCACTGGAACAAAAAAAAAAAAAAAAAAAAAAAGCAGACTGGACAAGATATCAAGAGCTAAATGATTGTTTGATGATGGAGTCTTTTGTGTCAGGTAACATTGACAAAGCCATAGGTAATTTTACTGGTATTCTCTTGGCTTGTGACTGAGCACATACTAGGTGACAGCAGGGCCGGACACCTGGAGAGCTATCAAAGACTAATCAGATGTAGTCTGGGACCCGCTCCATCTAGAGCATAACATGTTTACAACATAAAATACCTAGCGCTGCATTACCTACATGACAGGTGGACATCGCATGGCGACATAACATAGCTCAGCATAGACATGACATTGCATAGCATTTCGACGTGACATAGTATAGAATATAGTCATTGCATAGCGACATAACATATTTACAACATTAAATACACAACGTGATGTAACTTATATGACAGGTGGACATAGTATAGCGACATAACATAGTTAAACATAGATAAGACATAGCGACATAACATATTGAGGTTATATATTTACAACATACAATTCGCAGTGTGGCATGACCAATGCGACAGGTGGACATTGCATGGCGACATAGCATAGCATAGACATAACATGACACAGCATTGCATACATGGCCTACACAACATTGCATACATAAACAAGACTTTTGTGAATTAGCACAAAAAGACAAAAAACAAGACGTCAAGCAATACATATGGAGCATTACCAAGCATAGAGATCAAAGGAAAAAGCATTCTCCTTTTTGGAACAAAGATCTGAAGATCCTTATAGGAAATAGAGATGTGGCTGAATTTACTGGCCTTATGAAAGGCTGCCTAGAACTTCGTAGGCAACAAGCTTGCCTGCAGGGAGCTGTTAGAGAGGCCAAGCATTGTACTTTTTGTGGTTTTGTAGAGGGTCTGAGTTTCGTAGAGATGCCCTGAGAGCACATCAGTTCTTGTCTAGGCTCAATAATAAAAAAGATAAAGAAATAAACCCACTATTTTTGCAGATAAGTTGCTAACAACTGAGAAAGAAATAGCTGGTGCTTTTAATGCTCACTATGCTAGAGTGAGTAATTATCTTTTTTTTGGCTAAAATCCCAATGGATCTTCTTAATTGCCCACAGACTTGCCTTAATCAAAGGTGTGTGTGTGTGTGTGTGTATTATAGAAAAGACTCGAGGGCTATCTGCCTAAGGGGAGAGGATGCCTTCATGGAGGACTTTCTAATGGAAACTGCCTCGTATACACGTTACACATGGGGAAAACCACAAAAAAAGCCAATGCAGCCAGCCCGTTCGTGGGATTCGAACATTGGACCGAATTACCAGTGTTCAGCAACTTTACCGCTCAGCCGCTGGTGGGCCCTTAATCTAGAAATGGGCAACATTTTTAATTTACCTTTTTCTCAATGGGAACTCAAATGCAGCATTAAACAATTGCCACAGAGAAAGAGTGCACAATAGGATGGAATCCTGCTGGAGTTTCGCATTAATCTTGGTAAAACGTCTATGACAGTCTTCATCAGGCTTAATAACCTCACTTGGACTACAGCCATTCCCAATGTGTGGTGGGTGCAAAGCAGAAATAATACCTATTCTCAAAACTGGTAGAAGCCTAGGTGTTTTGACTAGCTTTCGTCCAGTATATCTTACTAGGATAATGTATAAACTGACTGAATACCTCATTATAACTTCAATCACTATCTTGAGATATTCTGTTATATTTCTGATAGACAGGCTGGTCTTAGGAAATATAGAAATACTATTGAACAGATAGCAAGACTCACACACAGGAGATAAAAGATGGCTTCCATCTTAAAAAGAGTACTGTAGCAGTGTTGGTCTTTGACAAAAACGCTGCTCAGAAAATTAATTGATATCAGTATTTGTGGAAATATTTATCACTAGATTAAATCTTTTTTGGACCAGTGCTTCATGAGAACTAAATTTGGATCAGCTATCTCTGCCTATAGACAAATTAGACAAAGGGCTCACGGTTGGGTCCTGAGTCTTGTTCTCTTCAACATCATGATTAATGATATTGTTCGCTATCCTATAAATTCACATCCTGAGGTCCAGACCCTTCTCTTTGTGATCTGTGACTGAGACATCCATATTATCCAGAATTCGCTTAATATTGCCCTTGACGCCCTTTCAACTTGGTCAAAAACAATGAAATGATTGTAAATTCGAGTAAGACCACCTTTCAGGTTTTTACCCTCAGTACCAAACTTAAAGGGATAGAGCTATTTAATGGAAATAAATAATCCCAAAGGACTTAACAGGCTACTTACCTGGGAATCGTTTTGGATTCCAGGCTATGCTGGAATAAACAGGCCAATAGGATATTGGGTATAGGCAACATGAGAAATAGACAGCTTAAAAGGCTTACCAATGTAAAATGGGGTACTACCCAAGATCTACTCAGTACCACTTATAAATCTGTTACTAGGCTTGCTGTTGAATATAGTGGTGAATTTCTCATAACCACTTCAATACAGAACAGGGCTCAAACTACTCAAAATAATACCCAGAGAATCATCACCAGTGGATCATTTTCTACTCCTATTCTGACAATGGAACTGCAAACAAATATTGAGTCTCTGACCCATCAAAGGAAAATAAGTGCTCTCAAGTTCGTCAAGATTGATGAGGTGCGGTGATTTCTAGAAGATATACAATCCTGCACAGCACAGGCTAAAATCCTAACCAATCTTTTTACACATGAGAAATGAACTGTCCAAGTTTTTTTTTTTTTTTTTCTTTTATATCGTTTCTTTTAAAAGATAGCCACTATTTGAGATTGGTGTATTTCTAACATATTTGAACTTGACAAATTATAATTTGGTTCTGTGGCCAGAAAAAAAAGATTCACTACACAGAGACAGAATTGAGGATGTCTGCTTTGGCCACTATTAGAGAAAGATTTCCAACAACACAGCACTGGTTGCATGTCTACACTGATGGTTCTGCTACAGGTGCTAATAGTAACGCTGCTATAGGTGCTAACAGAGGTTTCTTCTCGGGACATTAGCAGGGCTGTTGATGCAAACTGTACCAACTATGATGCTGATGTGGCTGCTGTCCAACCAGCACTGATTGAAATCAGTAAAAGAAACAATCGGAACATTGTGATATTTATTGATTCACACGCCACTACTAAAGCAATTTCTTCAATCATACTTTCAAACAATGGATCTACTCTAAATTGTCAGCTTGTGATTAGTTCTGTAATAAATGTGTCTAACAAATACATTCTCTAATAAATTGTTGCAACGTTATTCTGCAGTGAATCTCAGGTCATTGTGGAATCACAGGTACTGAGTTTGCTGACACTCTGGTCAAGGCTGGATCTATCCTTCCTGAACCTCATCCTCCTGTTTACTATCACAGTGCAAACAGAATCATTGGAGCCAGATGTGGTGCTCATCTTTTACAGAAAAATAGGGGCTGTGAACAAGAAGATTTGGGGTTCCCTGATAGAGAATCCCATTCCTTTACGACCAAACCTAGACCTGTGGAATCGCTAACTTCAGGTTAAAAATTGAACATGATTACCTCATGAAATAACTACACAAATTTGGATTAGCAGACTCTGCATCTTGCCCATTAAGTGATGATACTGACAGTGACCTTCTGGACTTAATGACATGGCATTGGATAAAATGCTGTCAAAATTATTGCACTTTTTTAAATGTTTCTGGAATTGTATTGAGCTGCCTGTAATAGACTAATGGTGATCATGCCTAGGTCTGGGATAGGATTAAAAAAAAAGGTCCCCTCTGTTCGAATGCACAGACATTACATTAATAAATCATGCAAATAGATTCTGGAGCAGTCATAATGAATACTTATAGAGTTGAAATGTGATATCCAAAAGTTTTCATAGTTGCAATACTTCCTTTATTTCATATGAGGAAGTAAAACACACCACAATAATCTGAATTGATCAAAGTTATACAAATATGAATTGCTACTGTATTCACTTTTAAGAATAACTGACTGACTACTAGCACTTCAGAGAACATTTACAAACCCAAGCATTATTGCCTGGCAGAATTTATTTAATTGTTTTTCAATGAAAATCCTCAAATATCTGATAAAATAAAATTGCCTACTTCAGTGTTCTTCATGGTTATATGCAGTTTTAATTTTGTTGTTGTTAGTAGTGGTAGTGTTTTAATTTATTTTTGGTTCATTCATTATGGCAAAGCACACTAGGGATATCCGCTTAAGAAGAGGATAGACATAGAGGATTTTCTAAGAGAAACTGGCTTGAATACACGTAACACATGGTGAAAACTCTGAAAATACCCATGCAGCCAGCCTGTTCGACTGGAATGAAATCCAGGTTGGAATTTCTAGGGTAGTGTTATGAGACAGGAAGGAAAATTTTTTAAGAAAAATAATCTTAAAGCAATATTTATACTATTGAAAATTAAAATTTACACTAGCATCAATACGTAACAGAGTCATAATGAAGAATTACAGAGATCTGGATTTTAATGCAACAATTTAACATAATGAATTAAGAAAGAAAATTTATCACTATGAAAGATGTTATGGAATTCCAGATGGTTTACATTGCTATATGAATAAATATCTAAAGTTATGTGAAATCAAATAAGAACGCATAAAATAAAGAGTAAAAATGGAGGGCAGCATTACTTACCATAGAAAAAATCAGAGCTCCAATACATGCGTAAACCAACCTTACGGCCTAAAATTATTTAACAAAACAAGGAATTACATGCATAAAGCAAACATCAGAAATATTTTTAACACATTCAAATTACACAGAATTTCTGATTAATTGATTGAAAATAATTCTCTCAGAAAGGTTATTAAAAATAGCATGTGATTTCATATTATTATTTAAGGACAGGGCTAATGTAAATTAAATTTTCGAACACATACATATGTGTTAGAAAATCCTTGAATAAACATATTTACAGAATGTTAGAATTTGGTGGGTGAGGGTGGAAGATACCAGGAAAACAACCTTGACAATACATACAAACATAGATATTCATTTTTAGATCATACTGTTTCGCTATTTTTTTACCATAATTTACGATTTATTAATTCCAAACACAATGGCATAAAAATAAAGCAGAAATGTTAAACTGATTTACATCTAACTTTGCAATAAATCTGTTTGATTAAATTAACCTGTTTTACTAAACTTTTAAGTAACAACTGTCTAACTTAACCTGTTAGCATACCATTAAATAACAACAATAAGTCAACAAGTTAATTTAAATTAAACCATGAAAATTAACTGTTTAACATTAAACAATAATGATACATGAGTATTAACATATCCTTGAATAAACATATTTACAGTAAATGAAAAATAAATGAAAGGAAAATGTAAATATAAGTAGATCTTCTGTTTTTCAGTATTGATGTTAATACCACTGTAATTGTTGCAATACCTTCATAAACTTTATTAATTATTTTATTACCATGATGGCCTAAACATATAGTTTTAGAACAATGATATATCTGAATACGCTTTTACTGAAAGGTATATATAAAAATTATTGTAAAAAATCTATTACACTTTTTCAGAACTTACATAATGAATCTGAGCAATAAAATGTTTGTACTTTAGAGATATCTTTTAATAAAATAAACATATTCGTAAGATTTGAAAAACATGTTGACAAACTGTGGATTGTGGTAATCTTATGACAACCATCTTGCTCCATCCAGGTTCTCTCTCTAATCAAAACTTTATTCTTGCAGCTCTGCTTAACAGCATACATACCTGTAGTTTCTTCAATTTGCCAAGATTGTGATCACCCTGCTTGTTTCACATTTATGGTGAAACCATTTTGTTTGAATTTTTTTTTTTTGCCCACAATTTAATTAAATTAATATAAAGCCAGTGTTTAATGATGTGCAAATCATAGTATAACTGATATATGTGCATGACCAGCACTAGAAATCCTGCCACCTGGTGTAAGCTTTCCAGCACTTGAATTTTAAACATTTTGCTCCTCGACGCGGCCATACTAGTTGTACCATCCCTGCATGAGCCACTTAATAACCACACCATTGTCAGTATACAATTTTAAACAAAAAGCATGCTATTCACCTCTGAAGCATTCCATGATGACTAATATTCACAGAACTGATATACTGCTAGTTACCACCCATGAACTGTTCTCCAAATGATATTTGAGAGAAAAAAGATTTCTATTTGTAAAAATTTATGGCCCATCCTATAAAATGTATAGTTCTTGCTAAGAAAGGAAGTACATTATATTTTTATAAAAGACACTTACTTGACCGGGTATAAAGATGACCAAAAATCCAAAACAAACAAATACTAGTAAAGTTACAAAAAACATGCCTCCCATCATAGTGAAATCGTACTAAAACAGAAAATACATAATTAGAGCAGAATATCAAGTAAAAGTACAATATAATAAATAAAAATAAATTATGATTACAAATATCTCTCTGTTTAAAGTTCAGTTTCTTTTTCTGCAAGTCACTGTTCATCAGTGTATCTGATTATATATTTCTTTATAAAGTTTATTGTGCTTAGATTGCAAATACAATACTTCTTTCAATTAAATCAAATGCTCAGTAGAATAAAATACAAAAGTAAAAAGACATGTCTATTTTTAACACTATTTTTGCTTAATGTTGTATGCTATTTTTTATGAAAAGATTCTGCTTTGTCCCATCTCATTCCATAAAAGTCATCCCACAAGAAGGAGCTGGCGACACCCCCTTAAAAACTTTATACTTGCTTAAAGCCTTTCTACAGTGTTGCTTTTATTTTGAATTATTTTGGCTGCTGCAAAATCTCTTTATGAAACTAGCCCTCTGTGCAATAGAGAGCATGTGGCTGTTAATTATTCCGGACTCTGAGCCAAATTTTCTATTGATAAATATTATTTTATAAATACAGTCCACTTCTCATATCACTAGGATTAGGATTATAACTAAAATTTTAATTATTGTAATAATTTTCTGTGATTTTTAGTTGTTTATAATGACTTTAAATGCTGATAAAAAAATAATGGAGAGGCGTAATTGAAAATACTTAATTACCATTATAATTAACAAATTCTAACTAAGCTGCAAATTAATATTCTTACGGATGATAGTTTGATATCAATTTTACCACCAATTTTTAAGCTTTTGGTGAACTAGATTTTATTCTCATGCTCATGAGACATAATTAACGATAATAATTCTCATGCTCATCGATGAGATGATGAAATGATTTAAAATAAGGTTCTAGGAATAGACATTCCCAAAGGTCCAGACAACTGCGGCTATTAAATAACAAAATATCTGTACATATGTTCCTTGCATTGTGGAAAAATGGCGGCCATGAAATTTTTAACACACTCAGACCTCCACTGTAAAGTCTGAATTTTGAACCACTTTTTTAAAATTATTTATTTCATATTTTGCATGAACTCGCTTAAAAGCAAACTCAAACTATTAACAAGCTTTCTTAAAAGCAATGTGTTACCACTTGATAAAGTGTAAAATATTTATGCTTTAAATTCAGTCAGAAAGCTTCACAATTTAAAAGAAATGAGTTGCCATTCAGCAAAGTATAAGAATTTATCTTTCGAATTAAATCAACAAACTTAGTGGTTGAAAAGAAATGTGTTGTCACTACCCAAAATACAATATTTTTATCTTCCATGTGCCAATCTGATGTTATTTCAGCAAAGTGTAAACTATTTCTGTTTTTATCATTTTGTCACTGTTTAACTAACTAAGCAATTCAAAAACAATAAATGCAGTTCTTCATCTCTATTTATTATTAATTATCGGTTGGACCTGTGAAGTTATACCAGCTGGGTCTATTAAGATCATTATATGTATTTTCATCATTTAGGTGGTAGGCCAATGCAGGCAGCCATTTCCTAGTAAATATCATTAAAAACTAAACACATCCATACACAACATTTAAAAAAAAGTCACTAAAAGAAATAAAATTCTTCAGTAAAACTGGTAAAATACTTATCTACTTAGGCATGTTACCAATATTTGTCAAGATAAAAATATCAACCACTGTACATTACAAATAAAGATCTAAAACGTCTTAAATTATATTTCTTAAAAATTTTTCAAAATCAGCAATTATTTTAATAACAAACTCATGGTGTAAACTGGGACTATCACTTATGTTTAACTTCTCTATGCTAAAATCTATATTTAAGTAAAAATTGTTTTAATGCTAAAATCTAAAGTAAAAATTGTTTTAAGACCTTAGCATGGAGGAATTCTTTGATTTTAACTTTAGAGGAGCAAAATTAAGTCAACTTTTACAGCACAACATGTTTTATTCATGTATAAAACATGACAATGATCTTTAAATGAGTTTTTAACACAAAATATTTATCAGAAATTAAGCAATGATGCTAAGTGGATTTTATAAGTTTTGTACAGGTTTAATGCTGTATGCATAAAAAAGGGGGGCATATGCAATGCATTTTGATTTAATGATTGATTAAATAATTATGACACCACATACAAAGGCTAAACGTCTTAAGGAAGTATATCTTCCTCAAGAAGACTCACTAACAGTCATTATCCAAAACCTAGAATTAATTTAATAACAGTGAAATAACATATGGGGAAAACTCATTTTGCTGAAAGCTCAGTATCATCTAATCTAGTTGACCACTGATGACCGCTTCTATCTCTCCTCTAAACGCTAGAGATGGACCCTTCTACGCTCGGCAGAGGCAACAAAGAGGATTGTTAAATAGTTTTAAAACATACAATGATTTTTTACAATACAAGATTATTTGATATATTTATATCAGGATGCTAAGGCCCTCAAATTTATTCAAAGTTCAGCTGATAAAAGATGTAAAATTTGAGCTTACATTATAAATTTCACAAAATATGAAATCTAATCTAGAATTAGTTTATTACTTTTAACATTAACATTTTCCAAATTTTACAAAATAATAAATCAACTAATGAAGTTAACACCAAAAATCATATTCTTAAATATTAAATGCCATACTTTTGTTTGGAAAGCAAATGCTGTGAGGCCAAGGCAGATGAACTGAAAAATAGAAAAAGATGCTATTATGAATTCTCAGCTATGAATACTGGAATGTAATATAATTAAATGGCTAAAGTTAAATATGCATGAAATCAACAATCAATAAATGAAATCGTCTTACAGTACATATTCCAGCAGCCCACATGACTTCATTAGCTTCGTAAACACTGTAGAAAAACATCAAAGCACATAAATAAAATACATAAGAATGTTGAGACAGTTTTATGCAAGTAGCCCTCAAATTATCTTGACATATACAGTACAAAGTCCATAATCTGGACTCGTCGGGACTTCGGCGATTCCGGATTAAGGGTTTTCCAGATTATAGATTATCAATTTAAATCTGGTAAGATGGCAAGCAGAAATTATGCAATTAAAAATATAAAACCATAATTTTTGAAATAAAGAGCAATTATGATCGAAGAGTATCGAAATTTACAAAAAAAAAAAAAAAAAAAAACTTAATATTTATTTGTTTACTTTATTAAACATTTTTTTCAATGTAAGTTGTTTAAGTTGCTTCGTTTTTTGTGCTAAACACGCACGCATAAAGCATAAAGTTTTTGTCTTTAAGGTCCGGATTATAAATCATTCCAGATAATGGACGTCTGGATTACAGACTTTGTACTGTATTTCTAGACAGTGACAAGATTAAATCATTTTTTATCATGTTGATCAAGAAGGAAATACATATCTTTTCCTAGTACTTCAGCACTGACTAGTAATGCAAATAATACTCAGATATACAATATTGATAGTTTCTAATGAACCCAAAAGGTCAGAATATATCTAAGTTACAATAGCACAGTTTAGCATAAAAGTATTCTTCTACACAATAGCCTAGATATAAGTAATAATATTATGTAAAGCCTATTTTATAATAAGATATCAAAAATCTCATGAAACTTATTGAATATTGTATTGAAAATGTATTTGTTGCACATGTGCTCATGTGGCATAAGAAATGTAGGGCAAATACTTTTAACTATGGGCCAAAGAAGTCTTTTATAGTGCATCAAGTGAGCAGGGCCATTTGATGGCATGTGCTCATGTGGCATAAGAAATGTAGGGCAAATATTTTTAACAGTGGGCCAAAAAAGTCTTTTTTAGTGCCTCAAGGGGTTGCGATGGTGCTTATGTGACGGTCTTTTGCGGTGCCTCTTTATGCACTTATTTCATATTTTTTACTTGAAATAAACTTCAAACACTGAATATTAAGTCATAATGGCTCTGTATGGGTGTCAATAAATGAAATATAAAATTAATATGTAAATTTCACGGAATACAAAGCAAACAAACCATCAATATTTAATCAGAATTTTTTATGAATTTACAGCTTTGCATACATTTTTATTACAATAATGAGTTGTAAAAAGAATTATTAATTAATATATACTTAATTTCAAATATTTAATATAATAATTCGATATTGGAATGTATAACAAACCTTGTAAACTACATAAAAACTAGGCGGCTGAAAGCCAAACTATTCAAAAAACTTTGCTTGGATGTGGGAGCTGAACACAGAGCCCTGCTATATTACTGCAGTTCACAATGGCTTTGGAATAAAAATGTGGAAATGTCTTATCACATGCATTCGAACTACATCAAGAAATTTACACTTTTCTGCAAGAGGAAGGTCATGCAAACTCGAGACACTTTCCAAACCAGACTTTTTACTACAACTGACATAGTTGTGCGATATATTTGACAAACTGAATGCCTTAAATGTGCCTCTACAAGGCAATAACATGCACACCTTGAAACTATTAGAGACGATTGTGACATTTAGAAGAAAACTGCAGTTGTGGATAAAAAAAAAATTAATGAGAATTGTGGTCAAGATTTTTCTCGAAATGCATAAATATGAGCTCCTTGTCTTTCAAAAATTGCTGTCTCTTTTCATGAAACACCTTTCAAAGTGCACTGAATGGTTTGCAAAATACTTTGCTGAAGAAAATATCGAGAAATATTCATAAATCCAAAATTCTTTCCATGCTCAAGCTCCACCACAATTCACTTCACTAGAGAGTCTCATTGAACTCTCTTGTGACAACAGCCTTAAAAAGAAATTTGCTTGTTCCGGTTTGGTGGAGTTTTGCATAATCATCAAAAATGAATATTCAACTTTACGTTCAAAAGCTTTAAGGATTCTCCTTCTTTTTCCAGCATCATATTTATGAGAAAACGGATTTTCAGATGTAGCTGCAATAAAGAGCAAATATCATTCAAGATCAATGTGGAGCAAGAAATGAGAGTGGCAGTGTCAAGTCTTATCCCTCTCTTTGAAAAAATTTATGAAGATCAACAAGTTCACCCATCCCATTGATTTTTTCCTATTTTCCCTTAATGATATAATATTCTTGTGTATCAGATCAATGCCTCAGATTATGGTTGTTTTCATTTCTGTGCCTGGTCGCTAATATCAGTATACAGTCATATTTAATGAAATGTTGTGATTTCTATGACACTATGTAGTAAGCAGGTTGTGAAGCACAAACCTTATCACATGCATTCGAACTACATACAAACATAGGGCACCGTGACAAAATACTAAACCTGAATTGCCACCAACTGAAAAAGTTTGGGAAGCCCTGGCTTAGCTTATTAATCAATAACAAATAGAAAGATAAATATTTTACATTTTTTAAATGGCAACAGATTCAAATAAAAAATGAAATTATGTATCAAAGTGAAATAATGCAAAATTACAAAGACCAATAGCTTTTTTTGGGTTAATAAGGAAACAAAAAGAGTTTTGGAATAATTTCTTTTCCTTGCATATTAAAAATAACTTCCATTAGCATAAATGTTAACTTAAAAAAACATAAATATTTTTTTATTTTTGCACAAAAATTATATTTATTTTTTAAATCCTAAGATATGCAAAATACACTCATTTCAAAATTATCTTTACAAAACAAAATACTGATATTCCATGAAATATCCAATTGATGTAATCCATTTTTGTAGAGCATGTGTGAAAGACAAGCCTAATTTAATTAGCATTATACAATCAAAAGTGATGAAACAGCTAACCACGGCATTTAGTTATCTGACCGTGAATTAAGCACTTTGCAAACGTGAGTATCTGAGTGAACTTCCACAATACCACATTCGATTTCAGTATGTAATGACTCAAAACAGTTTATTATGACTCCGTCCGAAATATTTTAGTGGTGAATCGCCATTCACTTAGAAGCGGGGCACACAATTATACTGCGTTTGATATTGTACAGAATGACAGTTTAAATTACAAAATGTACAGAATGACAGAATAAATTTTTAGCAAGCTGGTGCTCTAATAAGCTTGGTACTCTCGGTAGCCACCTAGGTAGCTTGCTTTTTAAGCCAAGTCATGCAGTCATTGTCTACAGTCATCCTGTAGCTATGAAAATTTTAGAACTCTGGTTGTAAGGAGACTCGGACAAAGTCATAAATGAATAGCAACTGTTCCTCAAGCTTGATATCTGGCAATAACTGCCCATTGTAATACGAAAGGAAGTCGAAATCAGACCTTGCAGCCACCACTCACTGCAAACTGCACACTGAAAGGTTAATGAAAAAGGCTTTTAAGAAGAAAGCCAAGGATATGTGTTTCATTGCCATCACTAGAAAAGAGGGATTACTTTAATTGAAGGAAATTACATAAACTAGAATGAATGCCAATGGTCTCATGCTCTCTTTACAGATTTAATATCAAATGCAGTGCTCTTAATTTTTTCCTTTGTATTTATGTGTTTTGATGTTATATATCCATGATTTCATCCCCGTAAAGATTATTTTCAACATGAGTGCATTTTAACAGCCAGAAAAATATGCATATCCAAGTAAGTTAATATTAGCTGCAAACATTGACTCATCCTGACCAGAAATATCTGGCAACTCCTAATAAAGCATTAAGTAAGAAAACACCTTACTTAACATGAATTTTTAGCAACCTGGTGCCCTAATAAGCTTAGTACTCTCAGTAGTCACCTAGATAGCTTGCTTTTTAAGCCAAGTGCCTACCTTGTAATAGTCAGAATTTGCTACAGTCTTAAATTTATAAGATTTGATTTATAATATAACTAATAGTATAATTTACATATATTTACATCTACTTTGCAAATTTTCACATAATTTTTTTTGGGGGGGAGGGGTCAATTAAAAATGGTAAATGAAATATGAGAGATGGACATTGAGGGAAAAAGTATACGAAAATCACAATTCAATGAGAATGGATATATTGTCCTTACCTAGATGCAACTCCAAGGAGAAAAGACTCCACAATTGTCTGGAAAGATATTTTAAGTATAATAGTTAAGTTTAAATAGCAGTTAAAAATAACTACAGCATGAAAAGAAAAGCTGATATAAACAATAAAACTTAACATCAGAATATATATCACACCTCTAATAATTCATAACTCACATTTTATAATAGTAATTTAATGGTACTGAATCAATAGTTACAGCACAGATGAAAGCATGTTAATGAAAAAATATCATTTAAGGAAATATGGCTACATGCAGGCCTGGTTTTTTGCTACCAAGTATTATCTCTGTGGTTCCTGAATTCTCCTCCCCTGGATGGCTATGCCGGCCCTGGTTGTAACTTTGAAATAAATGTTGTGCATTACTGGATACTATAGAGGGAAATGGTGAAATATACATTGAACCTGAAAATTTGTTTTCATTTGGACCAAAAGTAGTGCCCAAGCTTATGTCAACTGCCAGGATGGTACTGAACATGCAGCAACAAGTTAATCATGAGATGCTGGGCATACCAGAATGATAGTAAGACAATCTCTTCATAAGCCAAAGGATATAATTATATTAAAAATACTTTTTCTTCCTCTTCCAGAATGAACAGAAAATGATCTTATTTCTTCATATTTCGTTATCGTTTTCCAAAGGTTTTTTAATATTTATTGGCCCTTCTTAATCCTTTTCAAATTTTGAAATTTCCATACAGCAGCTACTGTGGAATAATTATTATGGTAAAACAATTTTACTAACAAAGTGTGATCTTGTAAACTTATTGTCACTGTGAACAACAAACACACTGAAAACAAAATATCCATGAATGCTTCTAGGTTTTGTAACAGCTGCTGTTGACTTTGACAAATATTTAACTTTTTCTAGAGGTTTTCAAAGTACAACACCCTCTGATAATACTTATACAGTCAAAAGTCGTTAATCCGGACTCGTCGGGACTTCGGCGATTCCGGATTATCGATTTTTCCGGATTATAGATCATCAGTTTAAATCTGGTAAGATGGCATGCAGAAATTACAAAATTAAAAATATGAAACCGTAATTTATGAAATAAAGAACAATTATGAATTAAAGGGTATCAAAATTTACAAAAAGAAAAAGCTTAATATTTATTTGTTTACTTTATTAAACATTTCCTTCAATGTTGTTTAAGTTGCTTCGTTTTCATGTGATAATACTTTCTCTTTAATTCTATTAAACAGACATAATTTCTTGTTTAGTTACAAAGTTCCGCTGTTCAAGTCCTATAATTGCTGTGTTGAGAATACCGACTAATTTGTCAATCGAAATGTTTTCGTTTTCAATAACCTCTGGGTCACTTTCTTCAATATCGGAAGCGAATTATAATGACGAGAAACTTGATTTAAATCATATCAAAGACGGAGATGAAATACTACACTTAGTACGGAATTATAAACCAAATAAAATAAAAACATCTGCCCTGAAGATAAGGATAGTGCTGACAGATCAACTTCCAATCTGCTGCGTGAAATTGATAAACAGATTTCGGATTTCAAAACATACTTTCGCTTTGTAGATACAAATTACATATTAGTAAATATATATCGGAAATTCTATTTGACATAATCTTTCTAATCTATCATAATTTAATAATGACGTTTCTGCCCCCCCCTCTGCCGCAGAGCAGCGTGAAATTGATAAACAGATTTCGGATTTCAAAACATACTTTCGCTTTGTAGTAAATATATATCGGAAATCCTATTTGACATAATCGAAAGTTCAAGCTTACTTTTATAAAATTGCTCTAACAGTCTGCAAAAAATAATAAGCCGGATCCAATTCGAAGATTAAGGAACAACGCAATCTGCAACATTAACTGAATTAGATAACTTTAGCTTAGCATATTACTTCGTTACACATTAAACGCGCATGCGCACAAACATATTCGCAGCCGTAAGAGTCTTACACGCTCTCGTAAACGCCTGTGCGCATGCGTGAACACGACGCATGCGCAGAAAGTTTGTAGCTTTGAGGTCCGGATTATAGATCATTCCGGATTATGGGTGTCCGAATTAACGACTTTTGACTGTAACTGTTTTTTTTTTCGCTGAAAAACCTTCCCATCTGTTGTTTGTTAAATCCTCCACAAAATTTCATGATTTTCTGATGACTGGTTTTGCCTGTAGGCAGCTTTGAAGTATGATTCTTTAATTCTGAACACCCTGCATTTATTAAAATCTTTTGCATTATCCTGTTTCACATTTGATTATTGAACAAACTGATAAAACCTGACATCATCTTTTTTTTTTTTTTTTTTTTTTTTCCCCCTCTAATTTTTTCCTCACAAATTTTGGTATTCAATGGAACATTTATTGCAAAACAGATGACAAACCTCCAAGTAACTTAAGAATTGCAATCTTTTATTAAGCATAAGCCAAGGAATATAATTATATTAAAAATACTTTAGATCTGCAAGCAATCAGCTATGGGAATTTAATTTAACTCGGGAGGACGTGCGCTGTATTATGCAACACAAGAACGTGCATGGGGTGTCAACACACCCCAAGCAATTAAATGATGTACAAATTAAAGATATTATTACAATTCAGTAAAAGAATTTATTCTATATTAATTGAAACATTTATTATATAAAATAGCTTAAAATAATGTTAATTTTAAAATTAAAAACAAATAAATCATTTTTTGGATGACTAGGAATCATTGATGTCTATGAGAAATTTTTGTTTTTAATTTGTGAATGCAATTATAATTCAAATTATGCAAAATTATTACATGAACAAAGAGTTAAATAATTAATTTTCAGATCAATTAGGCTCAAGAAGCATATTTTGCAGTTTATACATGAAGCATCTATTTTGCAGTGCTCTTGACATATTTTTTTTTTACACTTCACACATATAGTTTTTAATTTTCTTTTTGCCTTGAGCACATGTAACATCTACAGCATTATAATTTTTTTCTTTGTTTGTGGTTTATCAAAACATTTTCTGTAAGAAATTGGCCAATTCATAACTGGTATACCAATTGTCTGCCATAAAGTTTCTTCCAGATTTATATAATGGAGCTAAGATGCACTTTGCTATTTCACTAGAACTGTTGACTTTCTTGTATGGCTCATCTGGCTGCTGATCTACATAAAATTCCATGTTGAAAGTATAGAATATTCTACAATCAACCATAGCAAATATCTTTATACCATATCTTGCAGGTTTCTTAGGTATATACTGCCGAAAGGAGACATCATCTTTGAAAAGGTTCCAGCTTTTCTTTCAAAGTCACATATTCCCCTACATGATATAATTTCTGTCAGGTCTTGAGAAAATTTTGAAATAAATCTCTTATTGGAGCTAATTTTTCCAATATTCTTCTTTTATCCCATATTCTGACATCATCAAATTATAAGGCACAAAGAATGAAAAGAAAACGCTTATATTTCACAGTTTTGCAAAAAATATCCAATCCTGTGCCATCAGTCACCCATAAATCTCTAACGTATGCATGGGAAGATTTGTGCAATTGAGCTATGTATGAGTCCTAAAAAAAGCAGTTTTGCATCTCTTTCTCTTTTAAAATTTACCAAAATATTTTTTACATAAATATTAGAGTGTTTCACAATAAATTTCAATCATTCAGTCATCAAATATTAGGTTCTATGCATTGATGGGTGAAGACACATCTTTAGATATATGTGTATTACCAGGCAAAATTTTTAATAACATGATATTATAAGGCAATAACATGATATTATGAGACGCCATGCATCTTTGATCTTGAAAGGGTTTTTTCTGTCACTGTATTGTTTTATCTTTTCCTATAAAATAGTCAGTTTGATCATAAGGAATGTCTTCTGAAGAGATGCACTCTTCTTTTGATACAGACTGATGATCACTAAATATATCTTCATTGTCTGAATCTCCTAATTCTTCTTCTACAGAATCTTCATCCGACAAAACCTCCTCTAATAATTTTTTAAGTCTTTTCTTTTCTTGATCATATGCCAAATGAGGAAAAGATCGAACAGAGCGACTTGAATATGCCATGGATCACGCTGAAAAATAGCAACATGAAAACGTGCATGGGGTGTCGGCACACCCCAAACTGTTCTTTAAACCCCAATAAATGCTCGGAATTTTCCGTTTCAACTAAAAACGTGTAGAACACGATCTTGGAGACAGCTACTGATGGACCTAACTATTTTGGATTATGGGGGAGGGAGATTACCGGCGATTTTATTTTAGCATGGGGTGCCAAAACACCCCATGCGCACCTTCCCGGGTTAATGACCTGAATACCATTTTTTCAACATATATTATAAACAAACTTAGAAATGAATGTAAAATTTTGCATTTATTAACACTAACAGAGCTCACATCTATGCATTAAAAGACTAATTTTGTTGTCTTTTCCTCCCCCCCCCCTCAAAAAGTCATATTACAAATTACGTGCCACAGACAAATACTTCTCTAATTATTAATTACATTTTTAATTATTACTGCTTCCTTCAAAAGATTACATACAACTTTTTACATGGCAAGAATGATATATCAGCTTATAGTGGTTTCAATATATATGGCAGAATGTTTTAAACCATTGCTCATATTATGAAAACCGTTAACCTGGTTTTGGGAATTTTAGTTAAGCAAATGACTTTTTTTGGGGAGAAGGGGTATGGGGTGAATAGAAATAAAACATATTAAGACATACTTACAAATAAGAAAAGGCAAATGAAATTCAAGGGAAAAGTACGTCTGACATTATCACAGCAAGCCATTGCTATCATTAATACAATGATGAGAACACTAAAATAAAAAAACAGGCAAAAGCAGTTTTACATCAATTAATAAAAGACTTAACGAAGAAGCAGTATAAAATACTAAATACATCTAAAAAAGAATGAAAAATTCATAAAGCACAGCTGCCAATTTTGAAATGTGAAAAACTAACATTTTCTGGGAGACTTTTGCGCTGCACAGTGGCACCATTCCAAAAGAAATCCATACTGATTTAAATACATGATTCACCATCAAGTCACTTTATAATGTAAGATTTAGGTAATTCAAGTACATATTATTCTAATGCAAAATATATTAATATTTAATTAGATATTTTATATTCATTAGCTAATTTTCTTATACTTTTAAACTAAGGAAATTCTAAACAGGAAAGGAAAACTTTTTAATTCAACAAAACGAAAATTAATAATTAGTGTACAGTCTACTCTATCATGTAAATAAAACTTAGTAATGCTTCACATATTGATGTAAAGTGGTATATATTGTATTGCGTTGATTGCAGAAATCGATTGTATATTGGTCAGCTAATACTTGTATTAAATACAAATATTAGCTGACCAAACATTAGTTGAGTTTCATATAAAGTTCCGAAAATGTCTATGATAGAATAAGATGAGAAATAAAATAAAATTTAATAAGAAAAATACTGTTGAAAAGCATTAAGGGTAGAGGAATGGAACTTGCATATTTTTAAGTTTCAATAATTGCTAAAACCACTTTCATTAATAAAGGCTAAAACTTAGAAACTGTGAGATTTGGCAATCTACCAGCAGACAGGGAGGTGTGATGAAAAATCAGACCCAACAAAATTAAGCAGGTTACAATATCAACACAATTATTTCAATAGGCAAAATGCCTTCATATCCAAGAAAAATTTAAATACTTGAACATTTAAATATTACACAGTTTTTCCATATTATATAATTTATTTGATACTGCTACACATAAATTTTAAGCAAAACACATATATTCTTAAACTCATTGCTTCTGACATGGAGCGAATGAATTCTCTCCGTATGCCAGTGACTTTAGCACTTCAGTGTGTCCTACTGCATTTTGGAATTAAGTCTAACATGTGAAAATAATTCTTATAAAATCAGCTTTTCATTTAAATATTTGGATTTTTTTTCATATGTTATTTAAATGTTATTTCTTATAATATAAACAGAAAAATCTTAATACTTAAAATTTCAAAATAAGTGCAGTATTAGTAATATTGAACTTGAGAACAAAACTTAGAGAACTTAATACAAAACTTGAGAACTTATATATCAGTGTTTACAATATCTTATTGCCATATTTACCTACAAAAATTTTAAGCCGCTTGCACTGCATGAAAAATTTCTAAACTATGAATGTGCATCACTAGCACTATGCATTTAACTTTGATAGAATAAAATGATAAACAGCATTCATAATAACAATTATAACACTATTCTAGTCAATAAGATTTCACAGCATTCTAAAATAATTTGTGTGCATTAAAAATTTGAAATAAAATGTTCTATTTCAGTGTATCATATACGGTGGGTCCACAGAGGGAAACTCAGCCGTATTCCATATGCTAAGAGCAAAGAGACTAAACAATGCAATCATAATATGGATACTAACAGAAATTAAGTTTTCTAAATGAATAACAGTTAATGATGTCTATTCCATAGCTGTCAACTTTGGAATAGGAAAAACGGGGTCATGCTGTGTGGTAAGAAATTTAAATTATAACACGATTCAGTTTATTCAACTATTTATAACATGATTCTGAGGAAAATACATTAATATTTAATTATATAATACAAATTTTATGTTCTTTGGCTAGTTTCATTTCATAATTTTTTTGTGCTTTTAGTATTCTGAATAGGGATGGAAAGCTTTAATTTATCAAAGCACTTTTAAATATGACAAAAATAAATTATTTTCACTGCATATTTTTCATATTTCCTGTTCTGATATAAATCTCATGACTCTAAATATTCATGCAAAACAAAATTAAAGCATAAATAATTAATGATTAAACATCTGGTTGAATCTTCATATTAAATTTTACAAATGTCAATGATATGATCAAGACAATTTACATCAAACTAAAGTTAATAAGAAAAAATATGCTCAATATCACTGGGGATTGGAAAGTGGAATTTTGCATAATTTCAGCATCACTAATTCAGTAACAAATTATGCAAATTTTATTGCCAAAAACCTTTTTCACTAGTAAAGACTAAAAATTAAAAAACTGAGACTCTCCCGGTGAAACCAGGAGAGTAGGGATGCCACCAGGATGCCATGCTAATTTAGCTTGTCTCTTATTTAACACAGAACTAGCGATTCAATGACATTTTGGTTTATATTCAAAACTTTTTAAATATATATATCAGGATTCGTAGCCACACTTTAGTTAAAACTTAACACCTATAAGGAACAAATTTTAAGGAAACAAATAAGCACCTGTTTAATCACATGTATACACAACCTTAAACTATATAACCTTAAAATAAAAATGAGATTTAACCCATAATTCAAAATCCAAGAAATTCAGTATTTAACCCTTTGCAGCGCACTATACGTTAACGTCGGAATTTCAACAAAAAAAGTTGTATGCAGTCTATTTAGTCCTAAAGGAGTATACAGGTAAAATTTTGTAAAAGATGCACTTACCATTTTAATTCTGTAGGTGTTCCATGAGGTGGAACACTGCGCCGCCAGAGCTTTTAAAAGTGCGACTAAGCGAGCATTGAGTGAAGCACGAAAATGAGTAGAAGCATTTGTATAAGAATGAAAAAACTCTGTATTATGGCTGTATACATGGTTTCCTGGATATACACAATATTCTTGAATATATACGGATAAATGAGATAAATATCTATATACAAAAATATTTACAACTTTTCGGAAAGAGCGCTTCGGAAAGAGTTAGACCTCTCCGTGCCATTTATGGAAAATTAATAATAAAAAAATTAACTACGATTAATATTAACAATAAAGAAAAATAAGCCTGTGATACATACACGAAAAATATCTACACAATTATTGAAAATAAATGGGAATGAAACTAAAAAGCGACAGCAAAAAATTCACGCAGGTCTTAAGTAAAGATGAGTCAAGCTACTAATAAAATTTCCGCCTAAAAACTAGTCCCAAAAAATTCGAGATGCCAATATTAGGGCTTTCATAACACAAAACACACCTCACCCCTTAATACTGCTTTGTTTGAATTCATTCCCCCCCCCAAAGCAACGAAAACAGAAAACATAAACAACTGATGTTCTCTCCTAAGCACAGATGTTCTGATTTGTAACAGCATGAGATCGCTAAAGGCGCAGTGTTCCCGCTAATGGAACACCCTGGTTTATTCAATGATTCTGCGTATGGTTTTTGTCTGAAAGATTAAAAAAATACAGAACAGATAATATGGAGTACAGCCAGCAAAATTATGCTTAATTTTTTTTCCAAATAAAATTTTTTATATCATTAAAACATATAGAAAATTACTTGAAAAAAAGTGGATTTTAATAACACATATAATACATGAAAATTCTGTGTCTCCTTGTGATATGCTGCTATCTACTGTTTAAAAAGAAAAGTTCAAAGTATATTATAAAGGCATTTTTATCTATTTACGGTTGAATTTAAAGGTTTCAGAAGCGATTCAATTTGGGTGTTCCACAAAGGGTTAAAAAGAGAATCAGAATTACTCGACCATGGGAAACAATTAGAATTAATTTTTAATTGCAAATAACAATTCAATTTATAGAACTAGTTTAGAATGAGGGGGGAAGAACCCTATGCAAAACTAAATTATATTACAGGATTTAACGATGAAATATCAGTTTAAGGAAAATAAATAATAATAAACTGTATTTCTTATATTCATACCAAGTTCTTTACAACATAAAAAAAGAAACAAGAAAAAAGATTTATGCTTATTAATTAAATTTTAATTTAATGATTTATGCTTATTATTTAGTAACATTACTTTTATTTCTGATTTTATTTTCCTTTCATTAATGTCTGAATTCAAATCTCTTAAGAGAGTTTATTTTTCACAAATAGTTTTTAACATTTCATTAGATTTATTTAAAAGATTAAAGTCTTTGTAACTTCAGCCTTTTCAGGAAGTTCATTTGCTTTATTTTTAAACACTAACTTCTTTTTATAAGAGAGTTTTCTTTCTTTTAAGATTTTTAATTAAATAGAAAAAAGTTTGCTTACGATGCATGTGACACTTTAAAGCAGACTCTCCCATACTTGCTATGTTGATTTTAGTTTTACACTAGGAACACATGGCCCTGTGATTATTTTCGCTTTGTTTAAGCCTTTCAGAATATTCTTCCTTAGAAAGCCTATCTGTGTTAAAAACACACTTACCCCATTTTCAAATTTTAGCTATACTTCAGCATTTACAGCAAATATATTATAAATATTCATAACGATCGTAATAAACGCGAATATGAGCTGATCACGTGGAATTTGGAATGTCTATAGTCTGTGAGTGGGAGGAAAAATATGTGAAATATACCAGAATTTTCTACCCCTTTCAACAACTCTTTGACCAATAGAACGACATGCACCTGTCTCGACTCGTGGGAATCAAAGGTTAAAAGTTACGTTAATGCAGAAAAAGCTATTTCCGGAAGTATGATTCACAATCTGACACTCCAGATAAGAAAGAAATAGTAGTTTATTTAGTTTCGGCTTTGATGCGGGGAAAGAAAGCACTAAAAACAAAAAAATAAGTGCTTTAAGCACCTATACGGGCTTTTATAATTTATTTTCAAATAGCAGGACTTATAACCACTTGTAAGGACCGATACGAACCCTGTATATGTTTCATACAATTAGTGATAGTTTTACACTGTACAGATTTCATTAGTTCAGTCAACACAGTGTTTAAATATAAGTATGTTATAGTAAGAAACAAATAAATTATACTTACAAACCTATAATCATCATTTCAGGGTGTTCTGTGGTATATAATTTGACAGGTTCACTGGAATATAAAAAAGCTTAATAATTAAAATATGAAATAACAACAAATTCTACTAATTTCCTTTAAAAAATAGAAAATCCAATTCCTATTTCGGTATTGAATTAAATAGCAATACATGGCTTATATCCCAATTAATGAAAATGTGAATTAATTGATAATGTGTTAGATGACTAAATTAAAGCAAAGTGTGCCAAGAATATATGGATCTTCCATAGATGATTATACGGAAGAGATTCTCATCAAAACTGGATGAATCATGTTTTACATGGAGAGAACTATGAAAACCCCGTGCAACTAATCCATTCCATTGGCAGGAAATGGATGCAGAACCATATTCCATGGATTTAGTCAACTAGCCAGTGATTGGGTCTTAAATTAAAATTTAAACCTCTGAGCACATGAATATTTTTCTTCAACTATGACATTTATTCTTATTCTGTATACATTACATTATTTGTACATTGTACACACTACATCATAATCTATAGTTTCAATTTTCTTAGATTGATGAATGGTTCTTTAGAAAAATCAATGGTGTTTGCACCTGCACTTAAGACTGCATGAACACTGTAGGGTTCCTCTCATCATCAGGCAACTTATCGCCCTATCTATGGAAACAACTATAGTCACAAAAAGTTTAAACAAACCTTTTTATTTAAACTTAATACTGCACCTGCTTGTGGGATTTCAAGGTAATATATAACTGTCATTTAAAATTAAACAGTTAATTGACTTTGGAGATTAACAAATGCTGTCCAATAAGTATTGGCTCAGTTCTAGTTAACAGTGCAAGATGGCTGGCAAAAAGCTAATGTCAGATAATTTTATTCTCAGAGCTGAGTAAGAGAATTAATTATACATGTCTGACAAAGCTCTCAAACTTTCAGATGTTCTACTTTTAGAGACACATATCTGATTTATATTCTGGTGACAGCTAACAAAAAGTGATAGTTAAGTTTAAAATTGTAAGAAAATTCATTAATTAAAGTAAATTATTTACAACATGATAGGTACAAAATCATATTTGAAAAAAAAAATATATATATATATATATATATATATATATCTATATATGTTACAGAAACAAAGTGTGAAGCTTCTACTTAGCAGAACCTGGTTGCCATTTGAGGTGTATGTTCCATATCTTTTTTTACTTGCATACAAATAATAATAATAATAATACAATCAACAAATATATTTTTTAGAGAAACTGAGCTATAGATATTAATGGTTCTAATAGTGCTCGAAAGTGAAATATGCACAAGAGTTGCAATTAGTGCAATAGAAGTGAACTAAAGAATTCTTTAACAGACTTGATATGATATCAAGTTTATGATATGATAGTGGACAGTAATTAAATCAATCATAATGCTCAAAACAAAAATAATAGACTCATTGCTAAAGAATCGAAAGTGAAAATTTCAGCAGAAAGTAACTGTTGACCTAGGAAATTCTGAATCAACAGACTCTTATCAAAACCATCAAAACACTAACAACTAAGTTCCAAGCAAAAACAAGGTTTGGGAATTCTCCCCCCCCCCATTAGAAAAACATTTGTAACCTAAAGTATTCACGATAAAGACAAAGCTGAAATATAACTTAATTTACTAGATGAAAGAACCTTTAATATTAAAGTTTACATCAAAGACAATAAACTAGATAAATATAAGAAAATGAAAGAAATTGTGCTTCTGGATTATCTACAAGCTTAGACTATTTTTTTAAGATATTTTGTCAGATTCTGAATTGCTGGAACTGTTTACAGTATCAGATAAATTATTTCAGTCACTGGATAAAGAAACAACTGCTTAAGTATTAGACAAGGAGAAAACTGGTCGACATCTTCAGATTTTTAGAAAGAATGAGACTCATATTTTGCTTCTTGAGGAAACCTTTTAGATAAGGCAGTAATAATTGGTGAAAATCTGAAAGCAATCTTAGTATTGTATGCACAAAGAATGTTTTAAAAGTGTTTTATGTCACTGGTATTAATCTTCCTTAAAAGAATTTTTTTAAAAAAATCTGCCTTCATTACTGATGTCTTCAAAGTACAGCACTTTATCATAAACTGCCTGTCTTGCACATAAATCCACAATTAAATTTCTTGTCAAAAGAGGCAAACTCTTTAACTTCTGTTTATATTCCCTCTATGCAGAAATGTTTCATTAAATGACTATTTTACTCCACCATGGTTAAAAGCTGTTTTTTAAACAGAAGTCTAAAATAATAAATGGATTATGAAAAGCTGTGAAACAGATATCGAGCAAACACAAACAGCTTTAAAAAAAAGAAAGGAAAAAAAATGAAATGTTTCAGATTTTAACCATCGTCCAAAAGGGTTTGTTACAGTTTTCTTACACTCTTGTACAGGTAGCTCGCAGTCTACCAGTCAGCTCTTGCATTCGCTCCTGCTAACCCATTCATTTTCTGTCCTTTTAACATCGTTCTTAAGCATTGTTTTCTTCACACTTATGTTACATACAGTTCAACAACAAAATCACAAAATTTTTAAAAGATGCATAGAAATATATGTTTAGAATTCCCCATGGAGTGTGAAGTGTTGGCATATATTTTTATATTTTTTCAGTCTTTTGTCAGTTTATCATATCAGTGTTAAGTTTTATTAGTGAGTGGCTTATAAAACTTTTTTTCCGTCTTTTTATCATTAATGTTTAGTGTATTAACTTTATTTGTTAAATATCACTTCCTTGCACTTACGCCACATAAAATTCAATTCAGCAGCAAAATCACAATATTTAAAAACAGCATATCTTTAGAATTCGTGACAGAGTTGATAGAGGTTGCCAAACATACTTTTTATTCGGTACATTATTTCTTTAAAAAATAACCATATGCACAGGCAGCCATTTAAAATAGTTTCATAAAAAAGAAAAAATGTATAATGGTTTTAATCACGTTCAGCTAGTGTTAAAAAAGAAAAAAAAAATTCTAGTCAGACATCTCATGATTTTAATATACATTTATTTAAATCTAACACATTTAAAAAAATCTGATGTGTACATCACATGACTTCCTTGTACGGAATATTAAATTATACGCATTTTTTCTTGCATTTCATTTAAACTTATCGGGTTGAATTAAATCTACTTCACCGACAGCGCATAAACCACAATAGAATAAATGCAGTCTTTAAAATTCACTTTATTTGTTTGTTATTATTTGTTATTATTTGTTTACCATAGCGACACTCTGACGCTAGATTCACTTAACAGTATTAATAATTATATAACAGTTAACTTATATAATAATTATATAACGGAAACTAAGTTAACTGTTATATAATCGTATATATATATTTTGTTCATATATATATATATTTCGTTAATTATAAATTTCGTTCATATTATAACTCATAATGGACAAAATTTATATCATTTAAAGAATAGAATTATCTAATCGTTGCCACATTTCTATTCAAATACTATAATAAAGCTAGAATGATGTATATAAAAGAAAATTAGGCAACAAAACAAAAAAGAAACAGTTTTTCACAGACGATTGAGTATTTCTCATTTAATTAATTCAGTTCTCATTTCGCGAGAAGGCAAAAATACATAAAAAATCAAAATATCTATATTAAAAAATTACAAAGTAAATCTTAAACACTTATTTCCTCGAAAAAATTCAGAAAGAATTAAGCATGATTTAAATTGGCAATAATAATGAATGTGCTATCTTTGTTGTTGTGAAGCTAAGTTTCTCTAGATTGGCAGCAACAAATCCACTAGTCTCCTGTTTCAAATGTAAACATCAATGGCCGCCATTAAAAAAAGGCTTAGTGGCACTTAGACAACTTTAAAATTGTTGATAATTCTAAAAATATTGCATACAGATTTACTAAAGGCATAAAAACCTTAACCAGAAGATAAAAACAACATAATACAATCATTTTTAAAGCAGCGGCCGATTGCAACTAAAATAAGAGGTGCACATCTACATGTTATAGCAGTCCTATATACAAAATTTCAACATCCTGATGCTACTCGTTTTTGAGTTATGCCAGATACGTACGTACCCACATACGTACATACGTTCGTACAGACGCCACGAAAAATTCTCTTCAGAATTAATTTTAAAGTAGTTTTATAATGTTTTTGAAGGAAAAGAGTATTTTATTCTGTCCTTACCTACAGATATCATGCAAAAACATCGTTAAATTGCATTCGATCCCGGTCAAAATGGATATTTTTGTTGAAATATGCTGCCTGAAACTTTTCGGGATTACAATACTTCCTTTTTACTTCGTACAAGGAAGTAAAAAGAAAAAAATCTTAAGAACTGCATTTATTGCTTTTAAATCACTTAGTTAATTACTCAATAACCTTCTTGATTAAATTTGAAAGCGTCTTAGACTTTACTCAGCGGCAACACACTGGTGTGTGGAAGATAAAAGTATTTTATTTCCGGCGATAGCAACACACTACTTTCATAGAGCTCAGTTTGTTAACCCCTTGAGGACCAGCGCGCCGGAAATAAAACTCAGTCACGGAACCGAACGCTCTGAAACGGAGCGTCACTACCGGCCCGCGTATTTTAAGCAGTTAAGCCTAGTTACAAAATATTCGTATAAAATCAGCATTTTTAAGAAAAAGATCCAATTAAATTATAGATATATTCTATACTTCTATTAATATGTATTAAAATAAAAAAAATATAACGTTAATACAAATGAATGAAATATGCAAAAAAACTAAAATTATTACTATGCACATGAAAACAAATACTATACACAATAAAACAAAGCTGCAAATATTACAAACACAAATAAAAAAAGAGAATTAAGAATAATAATACATTCTGAATAAAATCGAAATTTAAAAATTCTGCTGTGTGTGATATAGTTTCAAAACAGGATCCACACAGAGTCCAACATTGCATATTTTGCACTCATAATATGATGTTTGTTTTTGATTTTTTTTAGCACATACGAACATCTTCTACTTTTATTCCTTTCCCATCAATATAAATTTTTGGAAAATGTCTACCAGTTAGACGAAATGGTTGAATGCCCGGTAATTTTGAACAGTTTTTGAGCTCCTTGGTTTAGCGAATTTTCCTATTATTTGATGAATAACTCTGGATCTGAATTCCAAGCAGATATTTTCTCACCTTTTTACCTTCGAATATATTACATTTGCATTAGAAGTGCAATCACAAACCAAAAACCTTTTTATACCATTTTACGGTTTTTCTAAATGCTGGATAGTGATGATAATAGAATCGCCAATGTCAAACCCCCCCATATTGTGATTATACTCACAAACGCAGAGTGGCTTCAAAATGTCCTTTCCAGCTTTCGGTCTTTTTACCAATTGGCACAATAACGCCGTCATTATAGTGATAACATCAGCACTTTTTTCTTTTTGTCATAATCAAATAAATCACTGACTATTCTACTCCAACATTTCAACTAATAAACGTTTCCATAAATTTCCACAATCTGTCAAAATATAAACACAGCGAGCAATAAATCCAGCCTTTAAAGAGCCGTGATTCTCACTTTGTTTACATCAATAAATAGATCAAATAAGAAGCAAGAACAAACCAATGCCCTCTGAAGGTAAAATACCATATGAGTCGACCGTTGTGAAAAACCGTTGCCGTTTAACGCATCTAGTAGCATTAAAAATTCAAATAAAACGTTTCCGATTTTCCGATTAAGCATACGCGACGCTGGTCTCTCCATATCAATCGGAGCTCTTCGCGTGGAAGCGACGCTGGGCTGATAAGAGTGGAATCACTGCGTCGCGTCCACGCGACCTTGGTCACGAACGGGTTAACTAAAACTGAAAGTTATGTGTCACATTTTTCCAAATGGCAACAGCCTCGTGCACTGGAGATAAAAATTTCTATTTCGAAGTGTTGTCACTGCTTGCTTTCAAATCATTTGAGTTTGTTAGTCAAAAATTCATAAAAGTTTTATAATGTATGAATTAAATAATAAAACAAATTCAAAATTCAGGCTTCAAGGTGCACATGCTATGGTGGAATCCAAAATTTGTTATCCAAAATAATCATATGCTATCCAAAATTTGATGGCTTTAGGTACTATTTTTTTTCACAATATGGAACATACATGTAGATGCCTCGTTATTTTATTTCTTTAAAAAGTATTTGGTGGCATTATTTTGAAGAATGATATACTGTAGCAATACAAAATCCTATTTCAAGACTAAAAGTCCCTTTTGGGCTTTAAAAAAAAAAAAAAAAAGAGAGAGAGAGAGAGAGAGAAATCCTTATTATCTTGAAAATCAAGATGTAAATAGCAACTAAACTGTCTTTACAAGTTAAGAAATAAACTAGAATATGTATGTGTGTGTGTAAAATATAAAATATGAAAAGAGACTTAATTGGCAAAAGATCTTTAAATTTGATTTAAAATATGAATACAAGTCTTTCAAAGCATCTGCAGTACCGCATTGTAAAAACTCTTGCCCAATCGTTGTGCAGGATTAAAATAAAGTGTTCTGAGGTAATATATACTCTGGCCTCAATGTGTGCACTCTCTTTTGCTGCCTTTGCTTCCTAACTAAAGGACATGTCTTCCTAGGCTGCTTCTATTCATTATTAAAAATGTAATGCATCATAATTAAAATTGTCAGATGCAGGCTGTGTGTGCATGTTGTGCTGGGCCATGCCATAACATATTTCTGAATTCAACAAGTAATAAAAATCCGTTCAAATTACCAAGTGATTTGTTAGTCTTCAAAGGTTACATCTAGTCAAGAAACCACAGTATATCCATAATTTCCAGATATCTAAAATGCAGCAATTTTCAGTTATGAATGTCAACGAATGGTTTCTGTTAAAATCTCTCCTTAGACTAATTTATTATTACATATACATGCATGCAGCTTAATGCATGAAAATACTAGGCAAGATTATATACTGTATTTAAAAAAAAAAAATTTTTTTGTAAGTATATATATATAATGACAACTGCAATTGATTACTATGTTTTAATGTCTTGGGAAGCAAATTATTTCTCTTTGTTTACAAAAAATTACCACAAGTAAACATTTGAAATAAGCACTATTTTGAATTTTTTATAATAAAACTTACTTATAAAGAAAGAGACAAATGAATCCAACAGTAATTGCCAGCTGTACCATAAGAATAGCATACACCTTCCTGATGAAGGCTAAAGAAAAATGTCAAAATACTCTTTATTGAGAATGAATTAAACAATTATAATAAAATGCTTCAGTAAAACATTTATAAATTTAAAATTGAAATGCTGCACATCTAGTCAATTTTAAAACATTTTAGTTAAAATTTATATGCAACATATTCTATAATTCAAAGAGATACATACATAAATCATTTTTATTTTCATAACCAGCAATCCCCCCCCCCAAAAAAAAACGTTTAATGTTAAAAACAGTTCAAGTATTATTTTTAATCACATTTTCATATATACATTTAAGAAAACTTTAGATTCTATAATATTTAAATGAAATTTATTACAGAATATAAATTGACTTACAGTACGAAATACATTGAAATTTCATAGTATGAATAAAACTGATTTTTCAGTTAAATATTTTCAGATTTAACTGTCAAACTGATATACACTTGTGGAACTCTTAAAAGAGAAAGTTACACAAATGACAGGACACAAAGAAGTGAACATGATGCCAGAGTTTCACCAAATGGTCTCACAAGTTTGGTTCCATCAAACTAACTGTACAGTTCTTTCCCAATTTTGACTCCAGAATGGCAGATTTTAGTCTCCCACACTTTATTCCCTACCAGCAAATACGAAAGACACTTAGCAACTTCAGTTAGCTAATATAGTAAATTTTGTAGGAATTATCATCACAAATTGTAGATGTTCATTGGTCAATCTGGTTCTTTTCCCAGACCTTTCTCAACTGCACAAACAATTGTTCACATCAAAGTGCAGATGAAGTCCACTGGAACTCGGATCCAGCATTTCTCAATTCTTGAGATGGCTTTTTTCTTTTAAGTAACTGAATAATAATTTCAGCAGAATCCTTGAAAATGTTATTTTAATAAGCCCACCTTGAAAACTGCTTTTAACTTATGAATGCATGCCTTTCTGATGAAAGTTGGAAGGACAGAAAAGCAGTCATCCACATTTCAAAGGCTTGTTTCTCCATAAAGAATTGGATGTGGAACTTTTTGGAAGGACTTAACTAAATATGGTTGCCAAAATTGTCACTTGCATAGAATCTTACTTTTGTTCTCAGATTACAACTCTATGATTCAGGGGAAACTTTTTACATTTGCCACATTCTGTTTGACAACTAGAATTTTATTGGCAGGGGTCTGTGGTCAAACCGCTCTGTGGCAGGGCTATCTGATGAAAGATGAAAGAACAGGAAAGCCTTCACCCACATGTTGACGGCTTATTTCTCTGGAAAGAATTGAAGTGGAATTTTTTGGAAGGATTTTACTAAATACAGTCACCAAAACTATCCCTTGCACAAAATCTCACTTTTATTCTCATTTTATAACTCTATGATTTAGGAGAACTTTTTATATCTGTTACATTCTTTTGACAGCTAGAATTATATAGGCAGAAAGTGTTGGACTCTTCTTTGTTTTCATTCCTTCACATTTCTCATGGCCACACTCTTCTGCTAAAAAATTCCTTACCTCATGAACCTCCCTCTCATGATTCTCTCCCCCCTTCAGCTAAAATCATTTCTAACTTCTCTCCAATGTAGGCAGTCATCTCTCCAATAGTTCCCCTCTAGTTCCGTAAGATGCTCTCTGCTAGAATTTTTCTTGCAACTTTGCATAAAATATTCTATGTAATGACAAAGTGTAAATAACAGTATTCTATACCACATTTATTATAAATTTATATATTTATTACTAAATAAACATTTGCAATATTCTAAAATTTAAAGTTATTTGATAAGGTAAGAACTTTTTAAAGCATTCCCACAACTTTATGAAATAAATCAGAATTATAAAATGCTTGCTTAGCAACTTTCTTTCTTTTTTTTTTTTTGATGAATTTTCTATAACACAGCTGTTTAGTATTTCAATTCAGTATGGATGATTCCTGATACAAATGAATAGTTTCAATTTAAGAAAATTAAATGAAGCGTCACTTTGGAAAAAACTGTGCAACCAAATTTCCTTCTATGCTCCATTACTGCCATCAATGGCATTTTAACCGATTTACCTGTGTTGACTTCTAATGAAAACAAAATTAATCTTTATTTAGAACACAGAATAAAAAAAAAATAATAATAAAAAAAAAAAAAAAAATAAAAAAATAAGGAAATTCAAATAAAAATCAATTATTTAAACACTGTAAGACAATATAAATTCTTAAAATGCAACACAGCTAAAAGGAAACACCTAGAGCTTATATACAGTCAAAAGTCGTTAATCCGGACACCCATAATCCGGACCTCAAAGCTACAAACTTTCTGCACATGCATCACAGCATAATGCGTTCATGCATGCGCATAGGCATTTATGCATGTGCATAATACTTTTGCGTATGTGCATATGCATGCACGTTTAATGTATAATGGACGGTATAAGCTAAGCTAAAATTATCTAATTATCTATTTCAGTTAATGTTGCAGATTGCGTTGTTCCTTAATCTTCAAATTGGATCCGGCTTATTATTTTTTGCAGACTAAGCAGCAGAATACACTAAGCAGCAGAATTTAGGATACACAGAGATTGCATCAGGTAGGAAAATCCCTAGCTCTAGCTCTATGTATGATGCATTAAAACATATTACATGAATCTTTTAAATTCTAAGTTTTCAATTTTTTATTCGTTTTATTCCATGCCTGTCCATGTGATAAATTAGAAGCATTTTTTAAATATTTTTCATGCTTGTCAAAAAAACAATCAAATATTATGTTTTCATTGTTCTTCAGGACATTCTCCAAAAAGTAAGAAATTCATTGCAAACTTTCTGTAAAATACATATATTACGTGACTTTCTGTAAAATACATATATTAAGTGTCAACCATGGAGACATTTTTCTTTTTGTCACATATTTCTTGAATCTTCTAGAATCGTAGGTCTATAAATCTAGCCTTCAAATCCTCCTAAACTTTCCAGGCTGCAATGTCTAAAGTCCTAAAGAAAAGTTGGTACTATTCCGTTTTGAGGACTGTAAAAAAATTGCAGCCCAAATGCATGTGCAAAAGCGCCAAATCCAGAGTACGCACTCATTCCACATTGCGTAAGTTTATGAAATGTCTATATTTCTTAAGACGCCATTGAAATACTAGTTTAATTTTTAAATCCTTTTTTGATTTTAAATTATTTTTTGATATCCTATGGATTTAACAATTTGAGAATTGCCCATGACGAAAAGTGTGCAACAGAATTTTGGGTAAAATGCAGAATCAACCCACTGCTTGATGCGTTTTTAAGATTTGCACATACTCGGTATCCATGTACACATGGACCTATTTTCACTTCAAAAAAAATCCCAGAATTGCACAAAATGGCACTGTGCACACCCTTGACTTTATCTATGTACACATCGACCTATTTTCACTCAAAAAATAAAAGAAATTTGACAAAAATCCAACTTTTTACTCTTATAAAAAGCAGCAAACAAATAAGTGAGCGATTCTGCACTTTACCGAGAATTTTTTAAAGAAAAGGCATCATTCATTATAGAAAATTATGTTTGAGCAACCAACGAGATGAAACTATGCTTTAGTGATAACTCAGTAGTGAAATAGCGATGCAGGCATCCATTCAGTAATGTTTAGCAATTTTTATATAAATTATAATTTAATTTTTTTAAGATTATAAATTATAATAATAAAAAAAGTATATATATAAAATTAACCTTTTATCTAAATTAAAACAACAATCTTAGATAGTTATTTACTATTATACTTCCTTTCTTGCGTTAGGATTGCCACAATAATTTTTGGCAGCATTGGCATCAACAATAGTTTGGTGATTTTTTTACGGCCCTCAAAACTGAATAGTACCGAAAAATTATCCCTACCAATTCTGTAAAAGCAAAAAGCTAGAAATATTTTGAAAAAAAAAAGGGGGGGAAGTGTAAAATTAATTTTATAGAGAAAACTCATGCATAATCTGAGAACTCTGAATATTCGGAGAAAATTACATTTGAAAAACTCATACTATGAAAAAATTAGGAAGAAGATATTTTCAAATCATTATATAGCTAATTTTGCTTTTGCTAAGAACTGTTTGGTAAAATGTACTTTATAGCATTATACCTTGTTTATTTTTCAGATTCAAAATATTGTATAATAAGTTACCAAAATAGAACTTTATTGAAAGGCTGTCGGATATTGCAAATAAGAAGCAAAATTTTCCACTTAATGGAATTTGTGAAGAAAAATTGGAGAAGAGATAATAAATGAAAATGATTTAACAGAAGTTTTTCATTGTGATGACAACGTCCCAATCATTAATCAACTAACGTATGACGAAATTTGTAGTATGCTCCTAAATCCAGAAAATATTGCTACTGACGGTGAAGAAAGCGACAGAGAGGTTTGTTAAGAATGACAAAATTTTGCTTGGCAATTTAATGGAAATTCTGAACACAGCAGTTACAATACTTGAGCAACAGAGCTTTGTACCTGAACAAGAAATTACATCTATAGAATTAAAGAGACAGGATTAACATAAAAAATTGAGCAACTTCAATTAACTTACATTGAAAGAAATTTTTAACAAAATAATAATAATAATAATAATAATAAATAAATATAGAGGTTTTTTTTAATTTGATTCCCTTAAGATCATAAATGCTTCACTATTTTACAAACTATTGAATATTTTTAATTTTATAATTTCTATGTGTCATCTTAGATTTAAACTAATGATGTAACATATGGGAATCCAGAGTCACCGTAATCGTGATGTGTCCAGATCTCAGATTCTGTACTATATAAGCAATAATTTATCTTTAAATACATATAAAAAACAAATGTAAAGCATAATTACCCATTCGTATGCTCTTCTCAGAAAAGCTGCTACCAAACTCTGATCCAAATCTGGAATATTCTGAATCAAAGTCTGCCATTTTTGAGACAAGGAACTATTTCAGGTGCTGAAATGACTACAGAATAACATTAAGCTATTATTAAACTATATATATATATATATATATATTAAACAGTTTTTTAACATATCATATCAATCTGAGAACAGAAACAAAGAAAATTTATATAAATAGGGCTTTCCAGTCAGCAATACCACCTCAAGAAAGTTTTAAAATGTTATGCCAAATAATACCACTGATCCTATACAGTTGCCAAGCAGTAAAGTCGGTGAACACTGGTAGTTTGATCTCGAGTTCGAATCCCAAAGTACAAGCTGGCTGCATGGTATTTTTGTGGTTTTTGCCAAGCGTAATGTGAATACAAGCCAGTTCCTCCACAAGGCATCTTTCCCTTTGGTGAATACCATTGTAAGTGGCACCATAATTTTTAAAACAATATTTATCTGGCAAAAGGTGTTCAACATTGAAGGTCTTCAAAATTACATTTGGCAACTTTTTCTTTCAACTTATACTGAGTGATACTTCATATTTTGACACTAAACCTCAAGTGCAATTTAAAAATACTATATAATTTATAAATTTTAATAAATAAACAATTTTTTTCTTAAAACAACCCATTTGTTCCAATTGCAAAGTAACAAAATAATATCTCTGTTAAATGACCAACACAGGACATTTGTACAACATATGAACTTGCTGTTTTGTATTAATAGTGCCTTCACTAAAATTTTTATCAAGTTTTTCACCCATCAAATCAGTCATATAAAAATAGATACATAAAACCATGTTCAATTTGTCAGTATCCACAAATTCATACAGATGATGAACAATCCTTTTCTAAATTTAAAAATGTATTGTAGGATAAAGATTTTTAAATTTAACACATTTTTAAATTTAGAAATAACAGCAAAACTTCTGTGTATATACAGTATGATTTATTGAACCCACATCTATTTAAATGGAAATACTGAAGTTATGTGATTGTCAAGCTATACAACCAGAATCTGACTGGTTCATAAAAGTAGGTATCAAATTAAGAACTGCATAATGCTTATTACATTCTGGTTACTAGTATTTCTTTCACTAATATATATAATTCATATAATACGCTAAACTCACTTAAAAGCAAGCACTAATGAAATCAAAAAACATATGCGATTTTAAATAACAGCTGAATTAAAAGAATATCAAACCATAAATATGCAAGGGAAAAATTTATTTGCACGGATCTTGTAACAAATATTGAAAGTGATTCCAAATTTTTTATTTAATCAATTATTTGCTTAATCTTGACAAGATTCCTGGGCAAGTGCTATGTCACCAAAGTAAGCAACTCACAATTTTACAAAAATGTTATTTATCTGGCAACCCACTAATGGCTGTGCATACATTACAGCAGTGCAGTAATCTATCCTGGTAGTGATAGCAGTATTTCTCATGCAGTTATGAAATTCAAGAGTCATGTTTGTGGTTTCTGTTTATTGCAATTAGTGTCTGCAGATTTTTTTTTCTAGTGATGAATTACATATTACATTTTTTCAGAAAAATACTGTTTTGCCTACTAGTGTAGGAATGCGGACTGAATGCAGTTCATTTATGCAGTTCTCTCTTTTTAAGTTGACATAAGTCGTTTATATGGACGCAGTACCAGTTCACTCAGCAGAGCAATTTCCAAAGAATTCTGCAATTATCTACGTTTTTGTTTTTAACACGGATAGCTGAGCGCATGGACAGAAGACTGAGAAAACAGAAAGTGTTTATTATGGATGTTTGTTGCATTTTTAGTTTAGCTAATTTGTTACTGTTTTATTAAGTTTTAAATGTTTCATTATGGATGTTTGTTTAATGTAAATTTTACATTATGGAACTTTTTTTACATTTGTAATTCTGTTAATTTGTTGCTGCTTTATGTAATTTTATGGATGCTGCCAATTTTTTTAAATGGCTACTGTTTTTTATTTGTTAGGTTGGCAAAAATGTCACCAATTGGCAATTTTATGGAATAGCTGGGCAGATAATCAATTATATTTATTTTGCTTGTTGCAAAATTAATATAATCAAAACCATCTTTGCAATAAAAATAACAAAATAATTTATTCATTGAGTGTTAAGAGTAACTCCCATAACAATTTGAATATTCGAAAGTTTTATTGAGATGTTCTGAAAGATGTTTCTAATAATTTTGTGTTTTAAATGAAACATGACCCATCGATTATTATATGCATTTAGCAATAGTACTTATGTTGAGCAAAAGTATGAACTTTTCTATATCTGCACTGAAAGTGACGCAATGCTACTACTTAACGACACGTTCTGTTAGAAGTACAACTGATCACTATTTTAAATATGGTATTCATAATATCCCAAAAATTCTTGATGTAAAGAATTTAACAATCTTTAATGTATTAAAACAATGGAAACTGCATGGAGCAGTATAAAATCATTATGATCTACACTACATTCCCAGCTAACACCAAGGAATCAAAAATTACCCTATGAAATATCAAGCAAGACCCCAAAATCAGTGCTTTAAAACTTGCAGCAGATTGGGAAGAACTCACAATTAAAGTTAACCCTGAAACTGATAGAAGAGTCATTTGGATTCATAAATACATTACATGGGTGATCAGCAAGAAGGAAATTCTTAGCCAACAAGAAAACATGGAAAATACACCTGGCATTCACAAAATCTATGGTATGCAAGTATTTATCATATTGGAACAATGTTATAGAGAAATCAAAATTTAATATATTTGGGTTTGGCTGACAGATTATTGTGCATGCAAAGTGAAAAATTGAACCCAAAAAATGCATTGTCTACTATTAAGCAAGTTGAGGGCATTCTGCACCTCAGGGATAAGAAATTTAGTACTTATAGAAAATAATATGGATCAGTTTAAATATACAAATACTTTACATGAGAAAACCTGAAAACATCTACAAGAAAACTTGGAATGCAAAATACTGATAGCCCTCATACAACACAGTTTCGCTGTAACACAAATCATAAATTGGGAGAACCCTCCTACAATACAGCATCCTATAACATGGTTTTGCTCTAACACGATAAGAAAATTACCCAAGCAATCCCAAGAAATTTAACAAAATCCGCACAAAATTTGTCCATATTGAGCAAAGCACCAACATAGTCCATTTTGAAGACGGTGGCCAAAATATAAGTTTTCAGTCTTTTAGAGGTCAAACACATAAGAATCCTTGTTTCGTACATCCTGCCAGTTATCTTCCAAAATCCAGTTCCCGTAAGCAAAAAATCCTCAGTGAGACGAGCCACATGGTGGTTACAAACCGTTCAGTTTTAACAGGTAACAATGAAAAATCGTTTCCTTCCATAACCATCAAAGTATAGCACAATAGAAACAACACTCAGACACAAAAGACCACAGTCACCAAATAACAATGAAGGAGGAACGAACCTCACTATCGCAGAAGATGAACGACACGATGTCACAATAAGAGCTCTAAAATGCACAACCTGAATGTTCAGCTTCCAAAATTTGAATCATTATCTACATGGCCTGAGAACAAAAGTGTCTCACGCCACTGGTGGTCAGTCTGTGTGGAGCAACGGTATCTTAACACTAGAACGGCGGAAGAGGTCATTTTGACCCCTGAACACTTTTGACCGTTGATTACTTTTGTTTTATTGGAAGAAATTATTTTAAATTTTTTGACTTTTCCTAAATAGATAACAAATACTTGTAAAAAAATGTTCAGCATTCTAGGTTTGTTAGTTTTTTAAATACTGGCATGTATTCCTAGAACGGCAGACGGGGGGGGGCATTTTGACCCCTTTACTTTTATCCCTCTTTCTGCTCGAGGCATTGTCAAATAACCCATGAAAAACATTCACTGATAAGGATTTTTCGATTGCATTCATACTATCTTTCAGAGGGATAAAAACCTGGGTGGTCTCACTACTTTGTAATGTCTATATAAGTTGTTCCTTTGTTTGCAATTATCTATGCGTTTGAAGGAAATATTGCAAGAAAGGTAGATGCAGGGTTTTTCATGCTTACATTTCTTTTCAGAAATAGTTTATTTTATAGATGTACTTTCCGGTTTGTTAGTTCAGCTTACTTACTGCAGGTGATAACAATAAGGACAGAGGTTTTTTCGGTAATCCCAAATCAGTATTTCAGTACATATTAGTTCTGCCGTCAAATTCATTATCACCTTTCTTTTACGCTGTAAGAATCATACGCTAAAATATATTCCCTATTGTTTTCTGATAGTCTGAGATTTTTCTACTTTTTTTCAACTTTTACAAAATATATTTAATAAGCAGAAAAGAGGTCTTACAGATGAAGAAATTAAAAATTGTTGCAGAAACTATAAGAAAATGAGTCTCACAGAGGTGAAATAGATATTTTTCTGTAGAAACTGAAGATGAATTCCAGACACAAACTGTTAGTGAATCCGAAGACAGTGAAGCAAACGAAGAACTCAGCAGAAATAAATGGGCAAAAACCATCAGGTATTTGCAAAACTGTTTTTACAGCTTCTGATAACACTATATGGAATGAAATAATTCCAAAAATTCAGGCTGCAGCCGTGTTCCTGCTTATAATGTTCTAAAGGAAACAGGAAGACCAACATCTTTTGCAAAGAGTCGTGTTTCTGAGGACAAAGTGTCTAGTGCTTTCAAGCTTTTTATTGCTGCATATAAAGAAATGCACAGAATCCGAAGCTCATCGGCAACTTGGAAATAAAGACTGGAAGTTATCTCTGGCTGAGTTAAATGCTTTTGTTGCTACATTATATGTTCGAGGAGTAAAAAGACCAAAAGGCTTAGATTTATATTCCTTGTGTTCCGAAGCGCGAGGCTTCGGAAAGAAACCATTTTGCAAAGAACTATATCAAGAGATAGATTCAAAGAAATAAAACGATTTTCAACTTTTGATGAAAAGATAACAAGATCTACTGGATTACAGACTGATAAATTTGCTCTTCCATCAGATAGGTGGAACAAATTTATTGAAAACTGCCAAACGTGCTACCGG